CTATCACTTCAATATATTATCAATATAAAAAATTTGATATTTTACATTCTTTTTTGTACCAAGTCTTCAATCCATTGTATTTTATACTCAAAGTACATCGCTATTTGAACTAGACACATTTCAATTGCTCAACAGCCAGCATATTAGACAATGCACCTCTAGATCTTTTCTTCCTCAGAGTGTATACATTGACTTCAAGATGAAATAAGGCCCCTCCCCCCAAATCTTTACCCATTTGCCAAAGAAAAGACTGTCAAGCCCCTTTATCAGAGTCTGACAGGTGGAAACTACCTCAAGGCATACGTAACTACTCCAGGGATACCTGTTTTGAGGGTGCTGATGTAAATTCCCATTGCTTCTCTGAGAAGTTTCACCCCTTCTTCTTTCATTAAGGCCACGAGATTTGTGTCAGGCTCATCTTTGGCAAGGCTCACACTAATCTGAGTGAAAGATCAGAAGTAGGTGGTAAATCACTTGAGGGGTACCTGCGCTGTGGACTGTGGGTGCTGAGCAATCAGATAACTGACGTTTCCAAAGGAAACGGGTGAGGGATGGGGCATTCGTACAATCCCCATGAGTGTCCCTTCTCAGGTTCTCTCTGCCAAGGCAAAGGTGGCCAATGTTAGAACCCACATCACCAGCTAAAGCAAAGCAGCTAAAGAAGCACAGGCTGCTCTGGAGGCTGCCAGTGGCACCACCGACCTAGAAAGTCACCCAAACGGGGTTCTGAACGTGTGGGCCCAGCTGGCCTTTACTTCTGAGTGACAGCTCATTTTTCTCCTCTGAGAACAAGAGGATGTGGAGCACAGAAGAGGAGTTAGGAAGCACAAACCTCTACTTCATCCACGCTGTTTTCATCAGACAAATTGGGGATCTCCACATGTCCCTTGTACTGCACTCCAGACTTAGAGGTACCTGTCAAAAGCAATGCAATGTCACTTTCTCCTCTGCGCGAAAAGTCATCTGCTCTGGAGCCCTAACTACTACCCTGCTTACACTCCTTTTGGACGACTGAACTGACCCTCTTTATTCTGAGAAAAATGCGACACGACACACCGGATGCAACTGACCTTCCCCCAGCAGAAATGTCTTTCCTCGTCAAATTTCTTGAACTTGTGTGTTATTACCATGTGGGACCAAGAACTGCCAAATTCTGCCAGGGAGGACTCGAGTCAATAGCCAATACAGTCAGTTCTGCTAGAATGCTTAGTTAGAAAACACAAATTTGTCCCAATGTGACTGATACATTAGGGGACATTGGATCATAACATGAATTTCACATTGGCTCATATGTGATTCCCTCTATGAGAAACACTAGGTGAACATAAAAAACCACACCATTTAATTGAGCGGCACAGGAACACACAAAACACATCTCAAACATCTCCTTGCTAGTGACTTCAGTGCACTATGCCTGTTATAAGCCACGCCATTCACAACTGGTGTTATCCAGTTCCTTCTGATTTTAGATGACCCTCCTCCCATCACTTCACAATAACACCCAAGCCACAATTCGGCCACCCATTTTCACAAGTAAACTTCAGGTCTTTTTCAAGTAAAGAACCGTATTTATTGTATTATTTATGTATTTCTTATAATTTAACATGTTTAAAACTGTGCTATCCACATTTACGTTCCTAAAATTTCTTGTTAATCCTCACCCCAAGGATATTTTTCCCATTGATTTTTAGAGAGGGAGGAAGGGAGGGGAGGAGGGAAGGAGAGAGAGAGAGAAACATTGATGCGAGAGAGGCAAATTGATTGGTTGTCTCCCACAAGTACCCCAAGCAGCACGGGATTGAACCTGCAACCTAGATATGTGCCCTTGAGTGGGAATTGAACCCCAGGGCCCTTCAGTTGCCTGGGCCAATGCTCTAACCACTTAGCAAACACTGGCCAGGGCTTGTTCTTAAATTTTCAAAAACGAGTCATTGATGAAATTTTTGCATGTTGTATACCTAATCCTCTCTTCTGCATTAGCCCTCTGGTTTTCATTGAGCAACTTTGCATAGTGCAGTGACTTTTAGGAATACATTATAGCAGAACTGACTGTATTTCAAAACATTTATTTACTTTCACTTCACGAGGCCTCAGTTTCTCAATCTATGAAAAGAGGATGGGGCAAGATGATACCTAAGGTTCCTTTTAGACCACTATGCTTTAGTTGTTAAATCAAACAAAAAAAAAACCCAAACCTGATACATCTATTTTCCCCCTCTTTATTACCATTCATTTGAGAAATATTTACTGAAGCATAAATTTATTTTATGATGTGCCTCCTACACATAATTCTTTAGCTTTAGGGCCTTTTAAACTTCAGCCTCCCAACTGAAGGACCTTCTAGTAGGGCATATGCATGGTCCCAATTCTTTGCTAGTATCACAGAAGGAACAGAGGATAAAGCTGCCCCAAAGTAGTCACATGTGAGCTTTGCCAGCACAGTGGTTTAACCTGCCAGAATCACACTGAAGGCAATTAATAAGAGCAAGACCAAAAAAAATAAATAAATAAATCCCTCTCCCCACTTTCCTATCATCCAAGTGACAGAAGTAGCTACAGCCCAAGCCCCCAAAATATAGGTGCACAGCGGCTTCACTGTGGCGACTCTTTGAGACTCACAGTGAGGAAACCCACTTGGTGTCCCAGCATCCCACACTGCTTTCTGTAGGTCACCGAAGCAGCACACCTCCCCTGCAGCTCATGACCTCTTAAACCTTGTGCCTGGCTCCTTAACACATCCGCCAGTGCAGCCCAGCACACTCACCTGTCCAGTTTAGTTTGATGCTCCACTCATAAAAGAAGATAAGTTTGCCTTTGCGATTGTTAATGGACGCCTCTCCATCAAGCTTGTTCACTTCTGTCACCTCACACTTGCCTTCCTCATTTTGCACCCGCACTGCCAGGAACAGTGTTTTCAGCTTATCCGTGGACCAGTTTGAAGCATCCCTCTCTGTCCTGCAAAACAGAAACAAGGCTATGGACCAGCAGCCAACTCAGAGCACTCTGCTTGCTCTAGTCAAGGGAATGACAGGCTAGCGGAGGCCTGACAAATGGTTTGAAAATGACAGAAAACCCTCAGTCCCATTCCGGTATGTCCACAAACGTGTCACTCTCTTTTAGGAAGACAAGGAGTCACATACTGTCAATGAGGACAACTGCTGCACAGAACAGTCACAAACTAAATCAGCATAATGGTTCTGGGTGGGTATTTGACAGGGCACCTTCACGCCGCGCACAGTGCCACTTGACCCCGTGGAAATCTGTGCACATCTTACCGAAGCAAGCAGCACAGAGGAGGCCACAGAATGCATGAAAAGTCCAGGGGCGAATAAACCAATAATCTTGACCCGATTAGCACAGTGTTCTGACCTGGCAGGTTCAGGCCGTCATACACGCCCTACACGTTGTGAGCCCTCTAGACGGGCCGTGAAAACAATGGAAGCCCAGAGCTTCAAAACAAACAAAAATGAGGCCCAACACTCCGTGTCCGTTCACAGGAGCGGAGGCCGGGCTGAGATAAGGAGAAGAAAAAGGACTATCTGCCTGGCAACTTACTAAACGAGCAGAGAGGAACGGCAAAAAGCTGCAACAAAGTGAAAAACAAACACACAGTGAAGACAGTATGAACAGAGAGTTCAGCGAAGTCGGGAGACAGGAAACTCCCCCCGGAAGATTTCATGCAGGAGAGGCGGCTTTGGAAGAGGGCTTAGGATATAAAACCACGCTTGCCCGGCAACCGGGGGCAGCCCCTGCAGTTACAGCACAACCGACCCAACAGTTCCGGGCGAGGCCAGGCGTCCTCACCGTCCTGAGCTCTGGGCGCCTGCGGAGCACGCTCCAAACCGCTCTCGGGACAGAGGCGGTGGTCCCCAGGACTTCCCATTTCATCCCTAAGCCGCGAAACAGGAATCCGAGCCCCCCCCCCCCCCCCCCCCCCGTCCCCCGCGTCCTGCGCCCGAGCCTTACACAGCGACCTCCCCACGCGATCCGCGCCCGCCGTTTGGCCGCACTGTCTCCTCCGACCACGTGCGGGGACCACCTCTTTGCTCGGGCTGGAAGCAGGAGCCGGGGGGTTATGCTTTCACCTCTCGGAAACCCCTCCTCTGGGGACACCCCTCCACGCTGCTCCTCGCCCCCTAAACACTGAGACGGCAGCCGGGGGAGGCTTGGGGCTGGGACCACGGCGTGGAGAAGAGCCCACCCCCATCCCGGGCAGGGCTGCCTCGGCCCCAGCTTGGTCCCGGCCGAGGTCCCGGGGACCCCGCAGCCCGGCGCGGCGCGGCGCTCCGGCGGCCTGGCCCGCTAGCCCTCACCAGTGCCAGTTGTTGACGTTGGTGGCGTCCGCCCGCTCTTCCACGATCCAGCGTGGGTCACCCTCGCCCCACTTGGCCATCGGCTTTCCAATCGCGCCGTCACCAGGTCTCGAGCAGCCCCAGCAACCACCTCCGTACCGCCTGATCCCGAGCAGCGCCAGCAACCACTTCAATACCGCCTGGTCCGAGCACCCGGCAGCGCCTAGAAACTACTAGAAGCGGCCGCAGAACCTTCTGGCTTGCTTTTCCCTCCACCCCCCACCCCCTCCCCGCCTTAACTTCCGGCTCCTCCTCACTCCCACCCGGTACTTCCGTCCCCCCTCGCCGGACTTGGCTTCCGCCAGTTCTAGGGTTCTTTCAGGCTGCCTTGGGTAATCAAGGGGCCCGAACCGCAACCGCTCATTCGACCTCTCCTAATCCGCAGGGACACAAAGGACACGTCTCATTGTTTTCCTGGACCCCGAGTGGCCTCTGCTGAGCCTCCTGGGAGTTGTAGTCTCGCTAAGTGACCCGCTGGGTAACTACGGAAGGTCGCGCTAGAAGTGAAGGAAACGACCTCAGCACCGTGCTCTGGAGATTCTGGGAGCTGTAGTTAATAAGCCCCGTGGTCCTGCCGAGCATTGCCTGACGCCAGAGCGGGAAGAAACTACAACTTCCAGCATGCCCTGCGCCGCCTTTCTCCCCGCAGGTGCCCTCTAGCCGCCCCTCCGCGACTGTCGCCTTCCGCCCCTATGCTATGCCGCACACCCAGTCTAGAAAGGCTTGTCTAGCAGCCGAAGAGCCTGGCGCGGTCCTGATTGGGAGGGCTCGGTGTGGAAGAGGTGAGGGTGTCCCAAACCCCTTGAGCCGCGGGTCTGGCTGAGTCCAGCCTCTTCGCACCATGATCTTTCCCCCTGTTCTTTGAGGCGTCGCTAGACACCCCCAGGCCTGACTCTTTCTGTCGGAGCTCCCCTGGCTGGGAGACCAGAGTACGCTCAGGGTTGGAGCTGGGACTCAGCCCCGACGTTTGATTTAAACGAGTATTTAGTCAACCAAGGGCCCGCCGGGCTGTGGCAACTGCGGTAGATCCTTGACTTCTTGGACGTTTGTCACTAATTTAACTCACATCCTCTGGTCTCAGTTCATAGCCTCATCCCTGTAGGCCTGGCTTGGCAGAGGATAACCGAATCCGAATCTAACTTCTCCGTAGCTGGCTTCTGGGTTGTCCTGAGGCAGGGAAGCTTGTTGGTTATGGATTTATTTATTTTATTTTTAATTGATGTTTTAGAGAGAGAAACATTGATTTGTTGTTACACTTATTTATGCATTTATTGTTTGATTTTTGGATATGCCCTGACCAGGGATCCAACCATCGACCTTAGCGTGTTGGGACCACACTTCAACTGAGCTACTCAGCCAGGACCTGGTTTCCGGGTTTTGATCTCCTCACTCCCCATCTTTCTTGGTCATGTTCTTCTCCCCTCGTGGGCTTTTATTAAATAGGTGACCATAAGGACAAGTCTCTTAAGTATTTTTTTTAAAATATCGTTTAATTGATTTCGGAGAGGAAGGGAGAGGGAAATAAGAGATAGAGACATCAGTGAGAGAGAATCATTGATCCGCTGCCTGCTGCACGCCTCCTACTGGGGATCAGCCTGCAACCTGAGCGTGTGCCCTGACCGGGAATCAAACTGTGATCACCTGGTTCATAGGTCAATGCTCAACCATTGAGCCACGCTGGCTGGGCCTCTGAAGTATTTTAAACGGTGTTAAAACAACCTTTTTCACTCTTAAAATTGTACCTGCTTGCTTTATAAGTTCTTGAGCCATTAAATATTTACCCCTTTACTTGCCAAGTAAATCTGGGTTCTGATTTGGCAATAGACAAATTGATGTCAAGTATCTGTCCAAGTCTAAAATGTGTGGTTAAAAAATTGCAGCCCTGGCCAGTGGCTCAGTTGGTTCTAGTGGTTGAGTATACCAAAAAGTTTCGGGTTCAATTTCCATCAGGGCACATACCTAGGTTGCAATTTGATCCCCAGTGGGGGCGTGTACAGGAAGCAACGGATCAATGTTTCTCTCCCCCCTTTCTGTCTCTTTTTAAAAAATTTTTTTTGATTTCAGGGAGGAAGGGAGAGGGAGAGAGAAACATCAATGATGAGAGAGAATCATCGATCGGCTGCCTCCTGCACGCCCCCTACTGGGGATTGAGCCCAAAACCCCGGCATGTGCTCTTGACCAAAATCGAATCCGGGACCCTTTAGTCCGAAGGCCTATGCTGTATCCACGGAGCCAAACCAGCCCGGGCCCCCCTTCCTCTCTTACTAAAATCAGTAAAATCATATCCTCTGTGTAGATATTTACAGATTTTATTTACTATAGTGAAAGATGACCTGCCCTAGTTTTTCCTATAGTGAAAAAATAGAAGGACCATGCAGGTCAAAGTGGAAATGATCCAGGAGTCAGCAAACCAGGATCATAGGAGCAATTAGCAAGGTGGCTTTGATAGCTAATCCTTTTGTGCCTCATTTCCCTCAACAGTGAAATGGAAAAAAAATCTGCCAGGCCTGCCTTACAGGGTTGTTCTGAGGATGACAAAGTGAGTGCTTTATAAATTGGCACCTGTGCCAGAGACTTTACAGTATATGCTCTATGCATGCCTACAGTGTTTGTGATGGCCACTAAGAATTTTTATATCAAAAAATTTTTTTTAATCTCTAGGATTGCTTAAAAATATTTTCTTTCTAGCTTCTTCCAAGGTACCATAATACTTTATTAATAATAAAAGTTAAGGGCTCTGATTGGGTAGGTCAGTTGGTTAGAGCATTGGCTGGATACACCAAGGTTGTGGGTTCAATCTCTGGTCAGGGCACATATAAGAATCAACCAATGAACGCATAAATAAGTGGAATAACAAATGGATCTTTCTCTCTCTTTCTTTAAAAATAAATAAAAATAAAATTAAATTTAAAAAATACTAAAAGAATACTGAGCATTAATTTTGTGTCAGGCATGTATTAAATGGTTTAAGCCTCACAACAGTCCTATAAGATAGGTTTCTATTATTAATTTCCATTTTACAGATGAGGAAACTGAGGTAGGAAGATGTTGGTAAGAGATACTATACTAAAAGGAACTAATGTTTAGTGTTTACTTTCTGCTAGGCACTTTGATAGGTGTTTCCTGAGTCCTATATATTCTACACTGCAACCCTGTGTAGGTAGGATATGATTTTCTCCAAGGCTTAGAGGGAAAATTATTACCCAGTTTGCTCAGAATTGGAGAAATAAAGATTTGAACTTAAGGCTACCTGACTACAAAACCTGTGCTTGTACCACTAATGAGGGATGATTTCATTGTTTGCCAGCTTTTTAATTTGGTTTTGACTCCCTGGAGGTAAGTATACAAAAGAACTTTTAAGCACCCTAGCCAGTTTGGCTCAGTGGATAGAGCATTGGCCTGTGGACTAAAGGGTCCCAGGTTCGATTCCAGTCAAGGGCATATGCTTGGGTTGCACTGGGGATGTGCAGGAGGCAGCCAATCAATGATTCTCTCTCATCATTGATATTTCTATCTCTCTCCCTCTCCTATCCTCTCTGAAATCAATAAAACTATAATTACAAAAAAAAAATTTTTTTTAAGGTACATCTGGGCTCAGTAGAATGGGAAGGGATCAGGCAGTAGAAAATTGCCAACCATACCTTTGCCATCCCTATATGCCCTGAAAACAGAAAGGGAAAGTAGAATATGGTAAGGGCCATTGGAAACCACAACAGGGCTGCCAAGATGAGCGTTTCTGAAGGCTCTCTTGAGAAAGGTGCTATTGTAAAGAAAGGAAGGGCACATTGATCCTTCCTTTGACACTGTGGAGCCTTTGGAGTTATTTGTGGTGCTGTGGAAATTTTGGACCTAGTTCTTGGTTTAAACCAGTTTTCACTCTATCCAGTGAGCATTGATAACTTAGTTTGTAATTTTAGGGCAAATATTTTTCAGACCAGAATCTAATTTTAGAGTAGATGAGAGAGGGATTTGTGGTCTTTCGATCAAATGTGTATGTGTGTGTGTGTGTATATAATATACATGTATGTGTGCATATATACACACATATTTTTTTGCTATGCTCTTACTTCCCAAGTTTGGGTAGGTACTTGTTAATAAGTTAATGAAGATTTGAAGATATAGGAAGGAAAGTTCTGCTTTTTAAAATTGCTTTTATTCTTTCAGGCATTTAACAAGCATACATAAGAGCAAGATGTTTGTCAGTTTTATTCACTGTAGTATTCCCAGAGCCTCAGAGCTGGCACTCAATATATATGTGTTGAACACATGAATGCAGTAATGACCTGCTTGTTTGTGCTTTGATCTTGTGTTCAGCAAAGTTGATAATGAATTCTTAAAATATATATATATTTACTGATTTCAGAGAGAGATAGGGAGAGGGAGAGAGAGATAGAAACATCAAAGATGAGAGAGAATCATTGATCAGCTGCCTCCTGCATATTTCCCACTGGGGTTCGAGCCTGCAACCCAGGCATGTGCCCTGACCAGAATTCTAACCGTGACCTCCTGTTCCATAGGTCAACATTCAACCGCTGAGCCACAATGGCTGGGTGGCAATGCATTGTTAAAACACTTGCCTGCCTTGCACTGTTACCTCTCTAAATACCTGTGCTGAATACTCCAGCTCTGTTATTGGGTCCTTCAGGAGATGAACTGTATCTTGCACTTTTAAAATATCCCTTATAATACCTGAGAGAGTGCCTTGAACAAAGTAGGTATTGTAGGAATGAATGACTACTTGTAGGTAATTAGAGGATCAAAAGTATGGTTTGATCATTTGGATACCCAAGAATCTGATTTGACATGGCAGCTTCAGTATTTGCTTTACCACATTCTTTTATACATCTCTGATTACTGCAGGGGATTTGTAGTGTTTTGGGGGGGAATCTAGAAAGGGACATACTGTACATCGGTCTTCCTCTCACTCCAGATGAATCGGACAAAGGTTGATGAGGAGGAATATTGGAACAGCTCCAAGTTCAAGGCTTTCACCTTTGATGATGATGATGATGAGCTCTCTCAGGTAGGTTTCCATGAACAGTTGCTGAAGGTCGCACCCTTCCCTTCAGTGCCTCTAACATTCCTTCCCTTTGCGTGCTTGGTAACCTGATTCACCAGGTCTCCATTAGGCTCAGAAATCATTTGGGTCAAATCTTTAGGAAAATGTTCATGGAGAGGAGCCCTCAGAAAAGAAACAGAAGGATTGTAAAAACCAACTCTCTGCCCTTCTTCCTTTATAGTCTTAAGATGATTCATTTCTTTCTGTTTGTTTTAAGAATCCTGTCTTTTATCATGTGATATAATTTATTCTATTTGAAAGATGGACTGGGGTGGAGATTTTGTCCGTTTATTGTGTCTGTTTTATAAATGCAGGAACATATCCTTTTAACACCCGAGAGAGTCGGTGAACTAATTCAGGTTTACACAGCAAGGCATTGCCAGGAGTATGATTAGAACTCCGAGCCCCCCAACTCCTTTGCCACGGGACTGCAGTGTTGGCTAAAAAGCAATTTGTTTTCTTGGCAAATATTTAGCAGACTAGTTTTCTGTTACAGAAGGTGAAAGTGTTGGCCATTTTCAAGTTCCAGTTCCTCAGCCTTCTTGGTTTTCAAAGAGAAGGGTGGGCATTGCTGATTGCCTAAGTGTCCACCTGATGTTCCTCTGCAGTTAAAGGAATCCAAGCGGGCAGTGAATAGCCTTCGAGACTTCGTGGATGATGATGACGACGATGACCTGGAGAGAGTCAGCTGGACTGGGGAACCTGTGGGAAGTAAGTAGAAAAGGCCCGACGAGGGGAGTGACATTCAGGGTTCTTGTCACCAATGAAGGCCCACTTGTTTGTCTCTTCAGTGCTTGTCAGGAAAGGGAATGAGGGTAGCTATTTTCAGATGCACACATCTGGAAATTTAACCCCAGGAGAAGATCCTTGGGGAAATACAATAGTATTTCCCATGTGGGTAGGTCTGCTGTCCTAGGGCTAATACTTAACTGGCTATTTTAGACCCATTTGGATGCTTGTTAAAATGAGGTTCCTAGGGTTCACTCCAGAGACTCTGATTCAGCAGGCGATAGGGATGGGGTGGAGGGGGTCTCATTGTATAAAAAGCACTGCAGATACTTCTAATATGAGAACTACTGACTTACATGCTCATAACTATTGGCATAACTGACTTCCTTAGCCACCAAGTCTCGCTGCCTAGTATTTATATAATACCACTTAATACCTTTGCAGAGTCTATCAGATTTTTAAGGATATTTAAAAAAAAATTTCTTAATAGGAAATACTATCATGTGATTTAAAAATAAAAAAGTGTTGAAGGTATATAGGCAAAGGTTTCCCTCCTACTTAGTTCTTAGTCCCTGTCCTTCCAAGAAATTACTGCGATTGTTTGCTTCCTATGTATGCATCAAAAGATTCGTTTTACATTTATAAATACGTATAGGAATATACTTATCCTTTTTTTATACAAGTGATAGCATACTTTATACCCTGCATGTTTCACTTAATGCTATAGCTTGGAAATGTTTTCATATCAGTACATAAAGAGCTTTCTCAGTCTCTGTTTTTTTAAATAGCAGTATGGTATTACTATATATGGATTTTCTGTAATTTATTTAATCAGCTCACTGATGATGAACTTTATATTGTTTCCAATGTTGTGTTGTTTATTTTGCTATCAATAACCTTGTATTCTCAGAGGTGACTATGAACGATCAAGTCCTATAGAGTGAAGTTATTGGCAGAGGGCATTTGCATCTGTATTGGATAGATATTGCCAAATTGCCCTCCTTGTGGGTTGCGTCAATTTATACTCCCACCAGCAATGCAATGTCAGAGGGTTCCTGTGTCCCCCACAGCCTTGCCGACACAGGGTGTTATTAAACCTGGGGATCTTTGCCAGTCTTAGAAGGGACCAGTGGTGTCTCAGTGTACTTTTCATGTATGTAATTATCTTATTAAAAGTGAGGGTGAGCATCTTTTCATGTATTTAATAGCCCTTTGAATATTTTTTCTGTGATCCCTTTATTCATTTCCTTTGCCCATTTTTCTGTTGATTAGTCTATCTGATTCTATCTTTTCTCCCTGCCTTGATTTTTGGAGTCCATGTCAGCCAAAGGACTAGGGCCTCTGGTGAAAAGCCTTTAGAGTTTGTTGGAATGCTTGTTATCTAGGATTTATTTGGATGAGAATGACTGATTTAGTTCTTACTTTCTCACAGGTATCTCATGGTCCATCAAAGAGACTGCTGGGAACAGTGGGTTAAACCACGAGGGGCGTGAGCAGCTGAAGAGCCGAAACAGCTTCTCCTCCTATGCGCAGCTACCCAAACCTACTTCTACCTATTCCCTGAGCAACTTTTTTAGAGGTAAAAAGTGGTGGTTAAAGCCACAGGGAGTCGTCTTTTCTTTTTTTCAAAAAAATGCTCAGGTTCTAGCTGGTTTGACTCAGTAGATAGAGCGTCAGCCTTCAGATCAAAAGGTCCCAGGTTTGATTTCAGTTAAGGGCACACACCTTGGTTGCAGGCTCCTCACTGGCCTGGGCCCTGGTCAGGGCTCATGCGGGAGGCAACCAATTGCTGTGTTTCTCTCACATTGATGTTTCTCTCTGTCTTTCCCTCTTTCTTCTCCTCTCCTTAAAAGCCAATGGGAAAATATCCCCAGTTGAGGATTAAAAACAACAACAACAAGAACAACAAAATACTCGGGTTATTCTATTTATTTACTGTGGGAGATGATTATTGAAGGAAAAAGAATTATCTTTGGAGCTGGCAGTTGGGGATCAAGAGTGGGAGAAATGAGAGAAATTCAGAGGGGTTGGTCTGGGTTTCTAGAATGTGAACACAATTGGCATTAACCCCTTGACAGGTACTGAAGAAATTTGCCTAGGTCAGAAGTTCTCCCCACCCCTGTGCATTGCTGTTGGGAACCCGTGTGCACTGCTGGTGGGAATGTAGAACGTGTGAGAGACAGTATGCAGTTTTTAAAAAACTTAAAAAGTTAAACACAGTAACCACATGATTAAAAAATCCACTTCTAGGTATATACCCAAAAGAATTGAAAGCAGGAGCTTGAACAAATATTTATTCACCAATGTTCATAGCAGCAATATTCAGAATAGCCAAAGGTAGAAATAACCCAAATGTCCATTGACTAATGAGTGGATAAGCAAAATGTACATGCAATGGAATATTATTCAGCTAAAAAGGAACAGAATTCTGGTACATACTACCACATTGACGAACCTTGAGAACTTTGTGCTAAGTGAAATAAGCCAGACACAAAAAGATAAACAATGTATGAGTCCACTTATACACGTATGTAGTATCTAGAAAGTCAGATTCATAGAAACAGAGGGTAGAATATGTAGTGGTTACCAGGGCTGGGGGTGAGGGGAACAGGAAGTTATTGTTTAATGGGTACAGAGCCTCAGTTTGGGATGATGAAAAAGTTCTGGAGGTGGATAATGGCGATGGTTGTACTTTTGCTGTACTCAGTGGCACTGAACTGTAGGCTCAAAAATAGTTAAAATGGTAAATTTTATTTTATGTGTATTTTATCGCAATTAAAAATTTTTTCCTTCTTGCCTTTTCCCCCCATGGTGTCTTAAATTTCTGAAATTGAATAAAGTTTTTGTTAAGCCTTAAGTTCCCATAATGCATAATAAGGTTTTATACACACTACATCCTTAACCAAGTCAGAATGGGTCTGGCTTAACTGCTCACCTTCTCCCTCATGTGTTCTTTATCTTTAGGGAGAACTAGACTTGGAAGTTTCCAGTCCCTTTCTGATGGTAGGCATTGACCCTCTTTTCTTGATTACTTTGGGAGACGTTACTGATCTGGCGTATAGTCTGGGAAATCATGGAGAAAAGTGGTAATTAGACGATTTAATAAAATTTATTCTGAATCTCTCATCATTATTAGAGAAATTTTCTCATACGGAGTAAGAGATAGATTCTGATTACAGGGGAATGGGTGACTTCTGGGATACTGGCTTTGGAGAGGTACCGAAAATTACTTTGGGCCCTAAAACATACCTTGGGAGCCTACAAGTCAAGAAGGAAGCATTGAGGAAAGGAATGACAAGAAGGTGGTGTCCTTCTAAAACAGCTGCCTGCTCTCTTTCAGCTCTTTCGGACACACCTGCCAAAAGCTATGCTCCAGAGCTGGGGAGACCCAAGGGGGAGTTTAGGGTGAGTAATACCTTACACTGGGTTGACACTGGACACAGTGTAAAGTGCTTTGACATTACCTTGCTTGATCTTCCCAACTTTTTGAGCACCTGTTAATTTAACCCCGTTTTATAGATAAGAACACTGATTTCTAAACATTCAGGCCTGCCTGGGGTCTCACAGCTATGAAATGGTGGAACTTGGACTCAAAAGTATCTATTTTCTGGTTCAGTCCTAGCACACTTTCCTTCCCCGTTGTGCTGCTCTTTGAAGGCTGTACTTTGAAACTTTTGATCATCAATCTGAACTGGAAACTTGGTGAAGCTTGTACTCCCATGAAGCACATAAAAAAGCAAATGGATTCATAAGGAAGAAACTATATCCTAAAGTCTGGAAAAGGAACATGTCTCCCTCTTTCCTTATGCTGGCATAGCTATTATTTAGAGTCTCAAAAATGGGATTGATTGCATCGAGGGGTTGATATCCTAAACCAGTAGGCACAGTGTTACTGATTTTGTCAATTGGTTCATTCTGTCTTTGATTCATCTCTTCCCGTCTGTATTATTCCTGTTCTAGTTCCTTCAGAAATTCAGAACAAGACTATCTCAGTTCATTAATTTTTCTCCATTCCCTCCCACAAAATATGTCCCCCTTTAGGGACTAAGACACTGAGTTTGATGTGGGGAGCTGGCACACTGATAATTCTGATCCCTTAACTTCTTGGGATTCATGTGTTGCTAATATTCCAGGACTACAGCAATGACTGGAGCCCCAGCGACACGGTGCGACGCCTTCGGAAGGGCAAGGTAAGACCACTGGGGAATGAAATCTTGTGGGATTTTTTTAGGAAGCTGGCGCTGTTCCCACAGGGAGGATTTCTTGACCCCTCTATTCAATTCGAATTGTTAAATGAAGTGGTTTTCAGGAAGAAAATAAATTCACTAAGATGAAAAGTCAGCTGCAAAATTTGAGATTCTCTAGAGTTTAGTGTTACTTTGATAGGGTAATGGGGAAAGAGTGATGGACAAGAGGGAAAAGTGCTTTTAAGAATGAGGGTGGCCATGGCCAGTGTGGCTCAGTTGGTTGGGCATTGTCCTGTACACCAAAAGGTTGCCGGTTCAGCCCGGCCAGCATGGCTCAGTTGTTGAGTGTCGGAGATCACGATTCAGTTCCCCATCAGGGCTGGATCCAGTTGTGCAGGAGGCATCCAATCGATGTTCTGCTCTCATATTGATGTTTCTCTTTCTCTCTCCCTCTCCCTTCCTCTCAAAAAATAAAAAAAAATTATATATATATATATATATATAAAAGAATGAGTGCGATCTTTTATGTTTAGGTCTGAGATCCATTATGAGTTAACTTTTTTGTTGTTATTGTTAATCCTCACCCAAGAATATTTTTTTCCATTGATTTTTAGAGAGGGTAAAAGACTCGGGGCTGGGGGAGAGAAACATCAACGTGAGAGAGACACATATGAGCCCTGACTGGGGCTGAGATTGAACCTGAAACCCAGGTAAGTGCCCTTGACCAGGAATTGAACCTGTGACCCTTCGGTCTCTCTCTCTCTCTCCCTCTCTCTCTCTCTCTCTCAGTCTCTCTCCATTCTCTCTAAAAATCAATGGAAAAAATATACGTGGGTGAGGATTAACAAAAAACAAACTAAAACTTGAAAATATCATTATAGTTGGTAGAAAATAATTGCAAAATATACGTATTATAAAGGATTTTCATACAGAATATATAAAGAGTTATTTTCAGTAATAAGAAATAATCCAATAAAAATTGGCATAAGATTTGACCAGTTATATTACAGAAAACATATATGAATGGCCAATGAGCACTTGAAAAGGTGCTCAACATAGTTATCAAGAAAATGTGAATTAAAACTGTATGATACCACTATGCAGGTACTGGAATGAATGGCTAAACTTTAAAATACTGATCATACCAAATATTAGGAGGATGTGGAACTCTTGTACACTGTCAGCCAGAAGGAAAAATAGTAAAACTGCTTTGGGAAATAGTCTGGCAGTTTCTTACAAAGTTAATCATACACTTAATTTCATTCGTGGACATTTACAGTGCATGTTTTGTATGGACAAAAACATGTCCATACAAAGGCTTATACACAAATGTTCATACAGCTTTACTCATAATAGCCCCCAAAGTGAAAATCCAAATATCCATCCAGAGCTAAATAGGTAAATAAATGGTGGTATATATAATAGACTGGGGATGGGATGGGAAGGTATGGACATTAAAGTAGATAAGGAAACTTACTGGGGTGATGGAAATATTCTGTATCTTGATTGTGTTAGTAGTTACATGGAATTCTATTCTTGTCAAAACTCACCGAACTGTACATTTAAATAGGGTAGATTTTATTGTATGTAATTTATACCTCATTATAAAAAGAGGAAGTGATCTCTACCTGTTGACTTTGGCAAGACTTCATCAGGAAATGACATACAAAGCATAAGGCTGACTAGAGAGGGTTTGGTAGGAAACTACTGTCGATATTGTTCTGGGCACCACAGTGTAAAAATAAAGTGGCTTGCTTTGGAGACATTTCCTTTTATTCTTGCCTGTACTTCGGTGTCCAGCGACAGAGGAATGTAGTGAGTGAACAGTCTTCTCCCAGCACACTAATTCTCTTCTTATTCCACCAGGTCTGCTCACTAGAAAGATTCCGCTCCTTACAGGACAAGCTACAACTTTTAGAGGAAGCAGTTAGCATGCATGATGGAAACGTCATTACTGCTGTGAGTGTGGGGTTTTTTTGTTATTTAATTATTTTTTGTTAGTTTCTGAAAATCCCATCAGAATAGACTTCAACATTTTAGGTTAAATGTCAAGTAAAGATCCTGGACTTCCTTCTGATGTGTAGGATTCTCAGTAACACGTACTTTAAAGCCTGGCTGGTAGGACGTGTGTTGTATGTGGCACTCTTGATTATAATCAGGAAGCAGTAGGTTGGTTACTGTACTCTGAGGGAGGAGAGGTGTGAGAGAAGGGAGGCATCTCTTGCCAGTACAGGCACGGGCATGCGGTCTCCCAAGACACAGCGCAGTTCCAGATGTCCACCACCTGTCCTTCCATCACATCAAGAAATGTGTTGTCTGGGCCTGCAAAGGTGCCTACTGAGTTGCTGACCTCATTCTTAGACATTGGTGCTCAGGGTGGGGCTTTGTGTTTGAAAGAATACACTGGGTAATTAATTTTTTGTTCTCTCTTTAAAAAAAAAACCACATATTTTTATTGATTTCAAGAGAGGATGGGAGAGGGAGAGAAAGACAGAAACATCAATGGTGAGAGAGAATCATTGATTGGCTGCCTCCTGCACACCCCCCACTGGGGATTGAGCCGGCAACCCGGGCATGTGCCCTTGACTGGAATTGAACTGGGGACCCTGCAGTCCGCAGGCCAGCACTCCATCCACTGAGCCAAACCAGCTAGGGCTCTTTGTTCTCTTTTCCTCCAGGTTCTGATATTCCTGAAGAGGACACTGAGCAAAGGTGAGCATGGTTTGAGGAAATCTTCATTCAGCATGATGTCTGCTGCCCTTGAGGGGAGATAGGCATGTGGCTTTATACCAGAATTTACCAGCATCAAGTCTGCTGCAGAGACAGCTGGACTGGCCTGAGACCTCAGAGTTCAGCGCACGTCTCTGAGGGCAGTCGTCATCCGTTAGTGGCAACTACATTAACTGCAACACCCCTCTATGTACTGGGCACACAGACAGCTGTGTTGGTTTGAGAAAGTCAGAGTTGATGCGAGTACCTTATGTTTGGATTGGTGAGAACTGAAAGCTGACTCAGTGGCATAGAGCTGCCCTAAACCATGGAGTGTGTTGATGGTGGATTGAGCCTTAGGGATGGGTACCGTAAAAAAAATTCCTGATTGGCTTTGAGGAATTAATTTTGTAATGTGTGAGTAGGGAGACCAATTTTACACTTAAGTAATAGCTTTAATCTTTCTCCACCTAACTTCTTCCTGCCTTTCAGAGGTCCTCTTCCGAGAGCTAGAGGTGCGACAGGTTGCCCTGAGACATCTCATTCACTTCCTTAAGGAAATAGGGGATCAAAAGCTGCTTTTAGATCTCTTCAGGTAAGAACTGGTCATCTGGTCCAGTAAATAAATTAAGTATTTTGTTCAAAGAACTCTGGGGAACACAAAGAAGACACTGTCTGTTTGTTCTGGAAATGCTTATTAGACAAGATATTGAAATGTGATGGGATAACTAGCACCACAGGCTGTGATAAGGTGACTGTAGCACGTGGTTCAGAACCAGGTCTGGAGTCAGACATACCTGCATCGAATACTGGCTCCACCATGAATTCGTAGCATGACCTTGAGCAAGTTACCCAGCCTCTCCAAGTATCAGTTTCACATCTGTAAAATGGAGATGGTGATACCTACCCCGCAGGGTCATTATAAAGATGAAGAGTTAGTGTTATGTAAAACACTTCCATAATGCCTAGTCTGTAGTGTTAATAATTAGTAAGCATTTTTAAAATGGAAGATCTATAGTGAAGGTGTCTTCTTTTTTAAATTCTCATTCAAGGAGTGAGGATATTTTTTCCATTGATTCTAGAGCAGCGGTTCTCAACCTGTGGGTCGTGACCCCTTTGGTGGTCGAACGACCCTTTCACAGGGGTCGCCTAAGACCATCCTGCATATCAGATATTTACATTACGATTCATAACAGTAGCAACAGTACAGTTATGAAGTAGCAACGAAAATAATTTTATGGTTGGGTCACAACGTGAGGAACTGTATTTAAAGGGCCAGAAGGTTGAGAACCACTGTTCTAGAGAGAGTGGAAGGGAGCAAGAAAGGAGAAGATTGGGGGGAGAAAGAGAGAGAAACATCAGTGTGACAGAGACACATTGATTGTTTGCTTCCCACACCCGTCCCAAATGGGGGCGGAGACCGGACCTGCTACCCAGGGGCGTGCCCTTGATTGGTGCACAGGCCAATGCTGTAACCACTGAGCATACCGGCCAGGCCTGAAGGTATCTTTTATTACTGATCCCAGGGCTGAAGGTACCTTAAATTACAGTGTTGGTTATGAGAAGTACAGTGGAAGAGCAGTGCCGGGGTCCAACCCCAGCGGGTCCAGGGGTCCCCAAAGGTGTAGACGGAGTCGGCGAAGAAGGAAGGACACGGAGACAGCGTTCAGTTGATCAGCAGCCTAGCCAGGATCTCTAGCCAGGATCTCCAGCCAAGTTCTGGTCTGGATCTCCAGAGAGGTTCTGGTTAGGATATCCAACCAGGTTCTGTGTCCATGTTCTCTTGCTAGGTTCTCCAGGTTCTCCAGCCAGGTTCTGTAGCCATGTTCCCTCGCTAGGTTCTCCAGCCAGGTTCTGTCCAGGTTCTCCAGCCAGGTTCAGTCACCAGGTTCTAGTCAGGTTCTCTTGCCAATTTCTGTAGTCAGGTTCAGTCCAGGATCTTTTGCCATGTTCTCTCCAGCGAAGTTCTTCTGTCTGTGTTCTAAGCTCTGTATTCTAAGTTCTGTGTTCTAAGTTCTGTGTTCTAAGTTCTGTGTCCTAAGTTCTGTGTCTTGCTGTCTTGTTACATCTGTATTTATACCAGTTGATTCAATCCTATCAATCTCTATTACAAAGAAGCAAATGTAACTTTTAGTCAGGATACCGGAGGATAGCCTTATGGAAGAGGTTAGGAATTGAGTTGGGCTTATGAGACTAGGCAGGATTCTGATTGGTGGAGAGGTAAGAGGTAGGCATATCTGCTGGGGCTGGAGAGTGGGTTGGGAAGGGGGTGTCTTCTATTTTCCTTTCCTATCTCATTCTAATCAGTAGGTTATTTCTTACCTTTAGGTTAAAATGTGTGTATGTTTTGTTCTTTCTTCCGTGTCAGAGAAGGGGTTGGAACCTCTCTTGAGGCTGACATGTGGCCTAGGGTAACTCCAGTTACCAGTGACTGCAGCACAGTGATGAGTTCCCCAAAGACTAAGGTGGGGAAAGCAGGTCATCTGGTTAGAGTCAAGATTACAGATGGTTAGCCATGAGTTTTCAGAAGGCACATTGATCGAGGCAAGGTGTTCTCTCCCTCCTTCCCTCCTTCCCAGTCAGCAGGCTTCAGTAAGCCTCACCTCTGTGTCAAAGCATGATGTTGAGTATAGTGGACCGTTCAGAGTGAGAAGGGATCAGAACATCAAAGTCCTTGTTCTCCAAGGCCTCACCGCCTTTTGGGAAAGGCAAAGCACACTTCACTCTGCACATGAAAACAAGAGAACAATGTAGAAAACCTGTTCAGGAGTCGGCAGAGAAGGATAGTGCTTGACTCTTCCTCAAAGGGTCCATGGCATTACTGTGGGCTAAGGAGGCTCTGACCTTCCCATGAGCCCAGTTAACCCTACAGTTATTAGTGCCCTGCGGTGCCTTCTTGTCCCTGCTTTTTGCTCAGCTAGAAAGATGAGGGGAGCACTGATACCTCGTCCACCATGTGTTTTCAAAGGGTTGCTGTGGTAGAAAGTTTAAGAAGACAAGGGTTTATCTTACATGTGGAGGCAAATGAGTTTGAATTGTGTTCTCTTAGAGCAGTTGTCTTATTTTGTGAAGTTATGCTGCCACATGTCAGTAGATAAAAATGCTGTGTTCCTTCTGCTTCTTCCCAGGTTCCTAGATAGAGCAGAAGAGCTTGCGGTAAGTGTGGCCTTTGTTTCAGTTGGGGACTTACTTAACTGAAATCTAAGCCAAAACCCAGTCGCCAGGATCCCAGAATGATGAACATACTTATTTTCCATTTGTATTGATTATATTCAGGAGAGAGAGACATCTAGGAATCCTGAAAACTTAGTCCAAATGATGTACTGCTTTATTGTTTTTTCTGTGTTCTTTTAATTGGGCTGTAAATTTAAAAAAATGAATGAAAATTGGCTCATCAATTTGTAATTTTGTGTGTTTCTTTCTAGTTGTTTTCAATTCCTGGTTTGTAGGAGCTTCTGGATTTTGGCTTCTAATACTAAAGAAGATGCTGGTCCTTGGCTGGATAGCTCCATTGATAAGAGCATTATCCTGATATGCCAAGGTTGAGGGTTTGATCCCCGATCAGGGCACATAGAAGAATCAACCGATGAATGCATAAATAAGTGGGACAACAAAATTGATGTTTCTCTCCCTTTCTCTCTCTCTCTAAAATGAATTAAAAGAAAAGAAAAAAAAAGAAAAGAAAAGACACTATTGAAAGCTAAGAGGGATAAGAAACCAGATATATGTGAAGAAGGAAGATAGGTCAAGCTAGTGGCACAACCAGCACATACTTTGGCTAGAGCTCAGTGACTGAATGTTAAAATAGATTTCTGACAGATTTTCACCATTATAGAGTGAACTTGTGGAATATGAGAATAAATCTGAAATTTAACCAAAAGTTTAATTATATTACTAAAACTTTAGTGATCCATTTTTAAATATATTTTTATTGATTTCAGAGAGAAAAGGAGAGGGAAAGAGAGATAAGAGACATCAATGATGAGAGAGAATAAATGAACAGCTGCCTCCTGCACGTCCCCTACTGGGGATCAAACCCACAACCTGGGCATGTGCCCTTAACTGGATTCAAGCTTAGGACTCTTCAGTCCACAGTCTGACGCTCTATCCACTGAGCCAAATGGCTAGGGCCATTTTTTGAAGTTTGTTAAAGCGCGGGGCTCAACTCCCCAGCGCTGTCAGTGGCAGGATTGTTCCTTGAGTCACTGTACAGCACATGTGTGGTGAGAGCAGTGCTCATGTTTGGCTGGCACATTTAATAATGTTGTTAAACTTGTTTACACAACAGAGTATAACTCAGGAAAATCTTTTATATAATATTTTGTGAAAGGAACATGTACTTGATATTTTAAGTCAGCGTAAAGTCTCAAAAAATGCTTTATCTTATTCTGCTGAAAATGATTGGCAATTTGTAGTAATCATTTTGAAAAGTCTTTGTTTCTATTTTTAATCTCCATAGATTTGAAACTAAGGAATTTTTTCCATACGGCATTCTTATAAAGTTTGTTGTTTCGAAGTTTGATTAGTGAAAATAAATGTGGTTTGAGTAACTCAATTTTATTTAAAACTTTATTTTTTTTTTGCATGTACTTTATTATGTTTGAATTGAAGATGTTTTATTATAGATCAGCATGCCCAATAGAACTTCCTGCAATGATGGGAATATTCTGTATCTGTGCTGTTCGATGTGGGAGCCACAGATCACTTGTAGCTGTTGAGCACTTCAAAAATGACTAGTGCAACTAAGGACCTGAATTTATTTCTTTTTAATTAGTTTAAATTTACATATAAACAAACACATGTGTCTACTGGCTACCATATTACATATTGCAATTATAGATAAACCAAAGAGTGACTTTTTTGGTAAAGATTTTTAAAATATATTTTATTGATTTTTTTTTTACAGAGAAGAAGGGAGAGGGATAGAGTTAGAAACATCGATGAGAGAGATCGACCAGCTGCCTCCAGCACGCCCCCCAGTGGGGATGTGCCCGCAACCAAGGTACATGCCCTTGACCGGAATTGAACCTGGGACCCTTGAGTCCGCAGGCCAACGCTCTATCCACTGAGCCAAACCGGTTCGGCTTAAATTGATTTTTAGAAAGAGGAAGGGAGAGGGAGAGGGAGGGAGGGAAGGAGAGAGAGAGAGAAACATGGTTGTGAGAGCAAGAAATGGATTGGTTGCCTCCTGCATGCCCCCTATCTAGGATGTAGCCTGGACATGTGCCCTGACTGGGAATTGAACTGGCAACCTTTTGGAGCATAGGACAATGCCCAACCAACTGAGCCACATTGTCCAGGGCCCAAAGAGTAATTTCAAATCACTCTTTGCTCTCTCCATTCCCACATCCAATCCATACCAAGAAGGAATCTCTGATAATGAAGAATTTACCTTTAAAAATATGTGTGTGTGTGTATTGTTGTTGATTTCAGAGAGGAAGGGAGAGAGAGAGAAAGAGATAGAAACATCAGTGATGAGAGAGAAGCATTGATCGGCTGCCTCCTGCACATCCCCTATTGGGGATCAAGTCTGCAACCCAGACATATGCTCTGACCTGGAATCGAGCCGTGACCTCCTGGTTCATAGGTTAACACAACCACTGAGCCACACTGGCTTGGCAAGAATTTAGTTTTTAGGCATGGAAAGTCTGCTTAAGGAGTTACCTCCCCCTTCTAAGGAGACAGACTAGCTCACAGCCTTTCTATGTTTTTTTTCTTAAGCTGTCCCATTATCGAGAGCACTTGAGCATTCAGGACCCTGAGAAGCGGAAAGAATTTCTTAAGACCTGCATTGGGTGAGTATGGAGAAGAAATGTTTTTAAGTATAAATACTCATATGCAGAGGAATTAAGTGACTGAAAGGGGGTGGAATGGATAGATAGTTGAAGGGAAAGCCTAACACAATGGGTCATACAAGCATCATTAAAAATTGTCTTACTCAGTGGTTTGAAATACTAGTCCCCAATAGGATTTTCATTGGTGGTAAATTAAGGAAAATAAAGACAATATAGAGTTTTGTTTTTTTCTTTTGAAAGTTACATTTATTTAATTGAAAGACTGCCTTTTATTCTGGGATTCAGGATCCCTCTTTAGTTGGCAAAAACCTTAAATGCAAAATCCCAGCCAAAGGTCTGCTCTATTTTCTGCTTTCTCTCTCTCTGCCTTTTAAGGACGCTCCAGAGGTGAATTGAGATCAGATTTATGAAGCACCATGAACCTCTTATGTTATAGCAGTGATTTGCTTTAGTTGGGTTTGTTTCCTGTTTGAGTAGAGAAAAAGGTACTAACCTTCTGGCTCTTTATCAGTTTGCCATTTTCAGTGGAAGATTCTGCACACATACAAGACCATTACACGCTCCTGGAACGTCAGATCATTATTGAGGTTAGACTCCTCGTATCTGTGTTTTCTGCTTCAGTGCCGAAGCTCAGTGCCATCAGCCTCTGGGACCCATCTGTGCTCTGCCCACATATGTCATCTCCTGTTACAGTCTCTAAGAGCCTTTCATTTTCTCCCTCTCCACCGTAGCCCCTTCCCTCCACTGTTCTTAGCATCATTTTCCTTCTCACCTGCAGTTAACCTAGAATTATTTCCTCTTCATCCCAGAATTCCCATTGCATTGCCACTCCTCTGTCTGCCTCCATCCAACTTGGATCTGTCATCAGTTTAGGGCTTTTAGACTCCCGTGGGTCATTCCAGCCATTTCTTTTTCTCTTCCTTGCCTCTTTCCTAGGGTAGGAAATGCAGCTACTGTAGCATTGTTTCTCTCTGCTTCTACTGCATGGACATAGTTCTTTTTTTCACTTGGCTTGCTCCACTACAGGCAAATGACCGCCATCTAGAATCAGCAGGACAGACTGAGATCTTCCGGAAGCACCCCCGCAAAGCTTCCATCCTCAATATGCCACTAGTGACGACACTCTTCTATTCCTGCTTCTACCACTACACGGAGCCCGAGGTACAGGCAACACGGGAAAGACCCCACACACTCCCACTGCACAGAGGAACTTAGCTCGAAGTCAGTATTTTGATGTACCCTGTTATCAAAGGGTGCCTGTAGTTCTTGGGAATCCACCTGGAGGCTTTCCTGGCCCTCAGGGGTGAGCCAGGAGGGAAGAGGGGTTTGTAAGGCTTGTGTGGTGCCCGGTGAACTGGCCTATAGCATAGCACGTTCTGTCTCAGCAGTGCTGGTCCCACAGCGGGCTCTGTTCTAAGGCCCATAAATGCACATGGATTGACACAGAAGAGCAGCAGGGTGTCAGGTAACTGGATGTTTGAACACATTTTATAAAATTTAATGATCACAAGTGGACTTTGGATTAGCATAAAATTGGGAAAAATACCGTACTTATTAACCCAGTCTTGTTAAGCTGGGTTGCAGTGATACCTGATTAGACCTGATGGAGCTTTGCTCTCAAAATAATTTCTGGGTTTAATTGGTTACAGAGTAAAATGTAGAAAGTCTAGTCAGTACAAAAGAAGATGGGAGATTGGGTGGTATTTTGGGAAAGTTGGTAACACTAGAGTTTCTTCTCCACTTTCACCCTAGGGGACATTCAGCAGTCCAGTCAACCTGAAGAAGACATTTAAGGTAGATATAAAACGGTCGGTGCTTTGGTGAAAGTAGTATCAGGGTACCTATGTGGAGGGGATGTTGCTTTGTAACCCTGCACAGTAGGTGTCTTATATTCACGGTTAAAGGTGGGAAGGGAAGTGTTTGTGGGGAGTGAGGTAAGGCTTTAATTGAACGTCCTACCTCAGTGCTGGGGCTTGGAAACTACAGGGTTCTTGGTGACCTGAGAGACTTACAGATTTTTAAGAGGCAGAATCAACACTATGGTATATTTTTGCCTATCTTTTCCAGAATTCTCAAGCACCTCCTCTGGCACCTTCCTACTTCCCCTTAAATTCCTCTGGTCTCTGCTTTCTAGATCCCAGATAAACAGTATGTGCTGACTGCCTTGGCCGCCCGCGCCAAGCTCCGTGCCTGGCATGATGTAGATGCTCTCTTTACCACAAAGGTGAGTGCCTGGATCTCTCTGTGCTGCTGATGCCTTAGGCACATCCTCTTGTTATCCTAGACCAGTGATGGCGAACCTATGACACCCGTGTCAGAGGTGACACGCCAACTCATTTTTTTGGTTGATTTTTCTTTGTTAAATGGCATTTAAATATGTAAAATAAATATCAAAAATATAAATCTTTGTTTTACTGTGGTTGCAAATATCAAAAAATTTCTATATGTGACATGGCACCAGAGTTAAGTTAGGGTTTTTCAAAATGCTGACACACCGAGCTCAAAAGGTTCGCCATCACTGGCCTAGACTCATGGGAATCTTCTGTTCCAGTGACTGGCTTACATCTTTCCTCCAGCTTTTTATTTTCCAAAATTTCACGCCTAAAGAAAAGTTGAAAGAATATTATAGTGAATACTAATAGTCTTTACCTACTTCACTCATTAACATTCTCGCTATATATGCTTTCTCTTTTACTATGCACGTAGAAAAAGAGACAGCAAATAAGCTTTTTTTTCTCTCGCTGAACCATTTGAAGGTAAGTTTTAGACATCATGCTACTTCTCTCTTAAATATTTTTCTCCTTTGTAACTCCTCTCAAGAAATGTAACATTAATACTATAATCATATATATAGTCTGTAATAAATTAGCTCCTTAGAGCGGTTTCTGTTTGTTCTTGTGTTTGTTTGTTGCCAAGGATCTTGCATTATATTTGGTTGTCATGTCTACTGGTTGACATGTTAAATACTGATTTGTTTTCATTATGGGTTTGAGAATTTTCTGTTTTTCCCCCTTTGTTAGTTATTTAATTAACTACATTAACTACCAAAGCAATACGTGTCTGTGTCCAAATCAAACACTGTATGGAAGTGTAAAGAGTAAAGAGTGACGTTTCTCTCCCACTGACTTCCTGCTCCTAGTCTCACCCACTTCCTCAAGGCAGATGCCATTAAAAGTTTGATGAGTGCTTTCCAGATCTTTCCTCACGAATTTATAAAGAAACCTCTTTGCCCTAGCTGGTTAAGCTCAGCGGATAGAGCGTCGGCCTGCGAACCAAAGGGTCCCGGGTTTGATTCCAGTCAAGGGCACGTACCTTGGTTGCAAGCTCCTCCCCAGCCTGGGCCCTGGTGAGGGCTCATGCAGGAGGCAACCAGTTGAAGTGTTTCTTTCACATTGAAGTTTCTCTCTCTGTCTTTCCCTCTCTCTTCCACTTTCCCTAAAAATTAATGGGGAAAAAAAATACAAAGAAGCATCTTTATATAAATGTAAGTTTGGCTCAGTGGATAGAGCGTCAGCCTGCAGACTGAGGGGTCCCAGGTTCAATTCCCATCAAGGGCACATGCCCAGATTGCAGGCTTAAATCCCCAGTAGGGGTGCAGGAGGCAGCCAATCAATGATTTTCTCTCATTGATGTTTCTATGTCTGTCTCCCTCTCCAATCAATAAAAATATATATTTTTTAAAAAAGTAGAGATGTAAAGAGTAGGACTTTTCTCCTAGATAAGTTCATACTACAAGTGTGGTTGTGTAAATTACTTATTTCATTTAGCTGTATTTCACACTTTTCTGCATTAGTGCCTATAAACTTAAGAATTTATTTTATACTTCTGACTCTCTCCCACCCTCTCAAGTTTCTTGACTTTTCTAAAAAACTTATTTATTTCCCTGTTCCCCACCCCAGTCCATCCACTCTCACCATCACATTATTCTAGGCTGACTGTAAAATGCAGGGAGACAAGCTCAGGGTGTACTGTTCGTGTCTGGCCTACCTACTACTGCCATCTTCTTTCTCAGAACTGGCTGGGCTACACCAAGAAGAGAGCACCTATTGGCTTCCATCGGGTTGTGGAAATTCTGCACAAGAACAGTGCCCCCGTCCAGGTAATGGCTCCTGAAGAGAGTTGGGGACAGGATCCTCTAGGAGACCTACCTTGTAGCCTCTTACTGGTCAGTGATAGGAGACCTGACCTGTTCTGTTCTCCCCTTAAGGGCAACATGATGGCTATATTGGTCTTGATGTAGGACAGGTCAGGGAGAGACGTTCTCCTCTGCCCTTTAGAAGTAACCTGCCCTCTCTGAGGAGCACTCACTGTGTTTAGCCCGTGTGAAGTACTGCCATATTGGTGAAATGATACAAAGGAGAACTCACTGAGAAGGGACATCAGGGCACAGTGGAGCATGCCCGTTGCTGGCCTGGGTATCCAGCTCTGGGCTATGGAGGAGCATGCTCTTCCCTGCTTTCCTGGGGAGTGTGGAATGCTGCTTGGGGTCCACCTCATTTCCCATCACAGAACTGGTCCTGTGGTTGCTGATGGGAATTGTAGACATCAGATGTTGTAGATGAACTCGTCTACCTTCTTCCGGATTTTTTTCCTACTTTTCAGTGTTCTGGGAATCATTAATGAGAAGTACCTCTTCCCACAGATATTACAGGAGTATGTCAATCTAGTGGAAGATGTGGACACAAAGTTGAACTTAGCTACCAAGTTCAAGTGCCACGATGTCGTCATTGATGTGAGTCCCCAGGAAATAAGAACCTTGAGTTAGAGCCTCAGTGGAGACTGGGGGGGTTATGGTAGTCTCTGTCCTGGACCCTGAGATCCTGCCATCAGTTTCGATGTAATGGGCAAAATGGTCTGGCAGGAGTTAGTTTGGAGGCCAGCACTTCTATGCTATTTTCCCAGCCTTCTGACTGGTTTCTCTGTGCTCTTAAAAGTCTGTTGCACTCAGAGAACTCAGAGACCTGAATCAAGTCACATAAGCTCTGTAGACTTCACTCCAGCATGAGGTTCTGAGGGGACTTGGCCCCTGTCACCCAGCCTCTTGAACCTTGGCTCAAAGTGGGAGTAACAAAAAGCAAAAGACCTTCCTAGAGAAGGCTGATTTGGGGCTCACTGCTAGTCTGTTTTGGTGTGCAGACTTGCCGGGACCTGAAGGACCGTCAGCAGTTGCTAGCGTACAGGAGTAAGGTGGACAAAGGATCTGCAGAGGAGGAGAAGATCGATGCCATTCTCAGCAGCACGGTGAGCAGGGCAGCTACCCTGCCACAGCCTCGGGAGACAGACAGTTCTCAAAGTAGCATCAAGTGTATAAAAGGGTAACCTGGGGACCTCCAGCTGAGACTTAACTGTAACCGCTCTGAAAATTATTAAACCTAGCAGGTAGGAGAGACTTACTACTGGCAATACAGGAACAAATGTTAGATTCAGAACATCCCCGGAATGGATATTACCTACCTGTTGGAAGTAAGGAGAGGGTGAAATCGATTTTAGCAATTTTGGAAATACAGCCTGCTTGTCTCTCATAGCATGAAATTGCTGAGCTTTTTGTTAATGTTGATCTTAGTTCCTTGTTAGATGTTTTGGGACCTACCTGGGGTCATTGAAAGCTAGTGAATCTTTTTTTTAAAAAAAAATTATTGTTCAGCTATTTATTTTTAATCCTCACCCAAGGATATGTTTTTATTGATTTTAGAGAGAGGAAGGTGGGGGGGGGGGGAGAGAAAGAGAAACATCAAAGTGAGAGAGAAATATCAATAAGTTGCCTCCCGTACACGCCCTAACTGGGGATCAAACCCACGACCTGGGTATGTGCCCTGACTGGGAATTGAGCCATACCAGCCAGCGCAGAAGCTAGTTTATTCTTGGCCCTGAGAAGGTTAGGATCAGAATAAATCCCCAACTCAGGCTTGTGAGAATCAGAATGGGTGTCTAGTTCGTATCTGAATAAATGAACTCCACTACATATTTTAAAAAAATTTCTTCCCCTCCTCCTCCATTCCTCTTGTCCTTACAGTACCTACCTGTGAGTCTTGTTTTATTGCATTTCCACTACATCTCTGTAGGGATCAGTGCAAAATGATCATTGTTTTTTCCCACAGCAAATTCGGTGGAAGAATTAAGTGGCATCAGCTACCCTGAGACCTGACTCGTTTCTTCCTTTCCTGCCTTTGAAAAGAGTGTACTCTCTTTTTTTTGTTTTGTTTTGTTAATCCTCACCCGAGGATATTTGCCATTGAATTTTAGAGAGAGTGGAAGGAGGGGGAGAGACAGAGAGAGAAACATCGATGTGAGAGAGACACATTGTTTGGTTGCCTCCTACACTTGCCCAACCGGGGCTTGGGATCTGGCCTGCAACCAAAATACGTGCCCTTGACTGGAATTGAACCCAGGACTCTTCAGTCTGAAGCTGACAGAGCGCGCACTCTCCTTTGGGAGAGTTACAGCAGCACATCGCTTGGGCCTGTCATTAACAGGTGGCACCTGCTACTCTTGGGACAGAAACTGGCACCTGAGCACTGATCTTCTGTCCAAGGGCCATTGTCTGAGGGCCGAGATCTAAAGCTTCGACTCATGGGAAAGATCCCCTCCACCTGGTGCTCACGTGAAAGTGGAGTCATTTCTAGACTGGGCCCGTTTGGGGCAGGATCTCCCTTGGTCTGAGGAAAGTGACTGCTCTGCTAAAGAAGTCTCCTAGACTAGGAGGTGCAGCTATCATAGAGTGACCACTCAGTTCCTCTCAGCGACTGTGACCCTGGACTTGGTGCTGGACATGGCCAATTCTGCTGTGAATGGGGTCACAACAGAACCAAAATGGCTCCTTGAGAAGGGTGCCAATGTTGCAGGACCTCCTGGAGGTGCCCTCACTCCAGACTGCACAGAGCACTCCAAGTTATGACAGATGGCCCAGACGTGTCTTCAGCCAGCGTCCCTCTGCTGCCCCAGTCTAGCCTCTGTTCAAGGACCTCTGGTTCCTCTCTCACCTGCAGACTGAGATGACCTTGTGTGGGTGACGAGAACATCCCCACTGCCTTTCCCTCTAACACTCCTGCCCCAGACTGCCCACCTGTGTGGAGCTTAGATTTGGCAGTACCAGAGCTCTCCCGGATGCACAGAACTCGCTGTTGCACTAGGAGCCTCCACTAGGGCTGACCTCAGCAGCATTTCTGACTGTTAGGATATTGAGATGGAGGCTTTAGTATCACACTTGGTTTTAAGAGGATGTTCTGTAATGCTAGATGCCTGCCCTATACAATGTTAGCCTCTCTTCTCTGTGATTGGATTGGGTTTCCCCAGACATGTGTGGACTCCTAATAAAGCTGTTTCTTCCTTGGTGCCTTCTCTTTCCCTCCAGTTGTTTTGTGCAGAACAAAGAAATAATTGCCCAGTCTCTTGGGACAACTACCTGTCTGCCTCAGTGACTGCATTCAGCAGCCTACCAACAGGTGTCAGGGTATGGAGTACTGGTGCTTCTAGAGAGTGGTTAACAGAAGGAGACCTGAGCCGGGGATCAAAAGACCTGGCCTCTGGTCCCGGCTCTACTGACAAGCTGTGTGATGCTGGGTGAGTCCCTCTCTGGACTCATGATCCTAATCTGTAATAGGAGAGCACAGTTCTCTCGGAGCTTGTAGGATTCTGTCTCCTGTGACTGCGGAGTGCAGAGGCACACACAGGCTTTAAGGCAATGTGGTCCTCAAGTGGGTGCAATTTTGCCCCCCAAGAGATGTGTGCCAATGTCTGGAGACACATTTTGTTGCCACAACTGGATGGTACTACTAATGGATAGAGGCAAGCGATACTGCTAAACATCCTACAATGCACAGGACAGACTCCGCAACATTTACCCAGCCCCAAATATCACTAATGACAATGCTGAGAAATCGGCTTAAGCGGACTGGACTCCAACTCTTCTCCCCCCCCCCCCTTTATTGATTAAGATATTACAAATGTGTCCTTATCCCCCCAGTGTGGATTCCAACTCTTGCTCCTCCACTTTGCAGTCCTCTTTGTGATTCCTGGTAACCATGTTTGGCTCCTCCCCTAATCATCTCTCTTGCTGTGAAGGAACAGGAGTTTAATTTGCTAGCTTGTGCTAAAGTTATTGGCTGGTCTTCAAACATTCATAGCTTTAGTAACTGGTGTATTTGGGTTCATTTAGAGAAGCAGACTACTGGAGTATGCAGTCTGTGTCTGTCCATCTAACCTATATGTGAGATTTATCACCGGGATTTGACCTTATTCAAGAATGGCAGTTATTTAAACGGTCTCAGGAAGGTTGTCTACATGGCTGGTGGTAGAGCTGGGAATCCATGTGGCAGGCAGTGGGGAAGGAGGGATGGGAATACAGTGAGGGGCGAGCAAGGACAAGCTGGAGCCCACTGGGCTGGACTGGAACCCGAGTCAGCTCTCACTTTTGATGAAGTGGGGGTCCTGCAAAAGCTCACTGGTGGCCTTTGTCACCGAGCTGAAAACAGCCCCGGCCGGGTGTGTGAAAAGTGCAGGGGGATCCAGGGGAAGGTAGCAGTTGCAGGCCCAACTGCTGCCCCATCACCAAGTGGGTCCCCAGCAGACACCAAAATGCCTGCCCCTCCCTCACAGGCATCACCACAAACTGACCACTACTTCACTTCCGCCTTCCGGACCTTGCCCAGAAATCTCTCCTGTGGCACATCTAACGGGAAATGTACGGAGATGGAAAGTCTGGAAAATGTAGGTCACCTAGCCCCCTTGACGTGTTACAAAGCCACAACCACTGGCTTCCCATTTTGAGATGAGGGGAAAGAGGGCTCTGGCCTCCGGGCTTGTACAAGTTAACCTGTGCGGCGGTGGTCATGAGGAGCTGGACGTCTGGAGTTCTCTTTCCTTTGGAGCAGGAAAAATCACTCGCAAAGTAAGGATGACTTACCCACTGTTTTGGTCTAAGGAAGTGTTTCTTGGACTTGATGAGAACTTCCACACTCTACTTCAAAGTGCTGGAGATTTTGCTTTTAAAGAGGTCGGGAGAGTAATATAACAGCCCTCCTATAAAAAGGATTAGAGAAGCCAGGTACAGGAGGTCCCCTATTGTGATTCCATTCATGGGAAATATCCAGAAAAGGTCAATCCATAGACAAAAAGCAGATTGGTGGGTGGCAGGGGCCGATGAGAGGGTCGAGTAGGGAGTAACTCCCTGATAGGTACAGGGTTTCCTTTGTGCGGGAGATGAAAATGTTTTGGGACTAGAGAGGGGTAGAGGGTGCACAATATTGTGAATGTACTGAAATTGTTCACTTTTAAATGTCCAGGTTACGTGAATATCACCTCAATAATGATTTTTTACTTTAAATGCAGATTAGAGATGAGTAGTTTTAAATTCTGGTCTCAATATCAATATTGTTATATAATAGAGTTTGGAATATCATTGATTTTTCCCAGCTTTCTTGAGGTATAATTGTCAAAAGTTACATATATTTAAGGTATACAACATAATTTGATATTGTGAAATGATTACTACAATATCAAGTTAATTAACATACCCATCATCTCATAGTTACCTTTTATGTGGTGAACACACTTTAAGATCTACTCTTAGCAAACTTCAAGTATACAATACAGTATTATTAACTATAGTCACCATGATGTACATTACATTCCCAGAACTTACCTTATTCATTGATTTCTTGAAAATAAAAAGAAGGATTTGAAAAATAACTCTGAGTAGTGCTAAGACCTGTATGGTAGCCTAGTCTACAAAAAAATCTAGAAGTCCAGAACAAAGGACTTCTAGAACATTCTGTTGCGAAAAGCAGGACCCGTAGCCCTGGTGTAGAACTTCTAGAAGTAGTGAAAGGAATTCATGTCCTCGTGTTGCAGATGAGGAAAACCTCTAGGTGAGGCTGGCCCCTTTAAGACTCCAAGGCAAGTAATTTGGTAACTAAGGAGTCATAATGGCAATTTTTCTTGGGTAGTTCTCCCTGGAAATGTAGTTCTTACCCTGAGGACCAGAGTAATGAGGAGCAGAGCCATATCCTCCTAGGTTGGGTTGGTGAGAGGTCTATGTAAATGGGCTTACACTTCTTTGGCTTCCTTTTCTAAAATCTAGATGTCCCTGAACTAGACCAGAGAGCATGGTATTTCGTTTGGGCTCTTTTCTATTCTGTGGGGGAACACAAGGTTTAGTGAAATGGGAAGACTTTCTATGACATATGGTTTAAGTGTTCAGTCCTGTTTCTAAAACAGGAGGGAATGGGAAGGAGAAAGTCTTACCCCAAAGGCACCTGTGAGCCCCATTGCTAATGCTAATGCATCTGCTGAGAGAAGTGCCTATGGAGGAACATCGCTCTGGATTTTTGTTCAGGTTTTTCATGAATCCAGGTATTCTCGATTAACGGGCAGTCAGTGCTTAGGACTTCTCACGCTGAAACAGAAGTGGATGAGAGCTGTGAGTTCAGGACCTGGAGGAGAGGGGCTGAAGCCCACCGCCATGAGAACTTAGGACTTGGGCACACACACACCATCCTTCATAGACTCCCTCTTCTTCCAGGATAGGGAGCCAAATTGATCCGTCGGCTTAGAGATGGACATGCTAAAGGACCTTACGTCCATGCAGTTTGAATATGGGATTGAAGAGGAAGACCGCTGCTGGCTGTATTTGCAGGGTCGTTATCAGGGGCGGATGATCGAGGCCTGTGCCCACGCAACCTTCTTCTGCAAGGTTCTCCATAATATGAGGTAAGCAAGGTCTCCAGGGTCAGACAGATGGAGAAGAATCTCACTGCAAAGACGCCAAATGGCTTTAACTTTTTATATTGGAGCATAACTTTGGTGTCTTCCTAACTTTTCCAACCCATCTATTATTCCTGGTCTGAAAACACCAGAGAAATGCACACTGAGGTCCCTTGGCTGTGGTTCTGTCTTAAAGCATGGATCAGTGGTGATTTCCTTTCAGTGGGTGGATTGATTAAATAATAAATTCATTCATCCCTCCATTCATTCATTCACTCATGGAGATGACCAATGACTTGTCATCCCATGAAGATGGCATGAGTTCCTTTTATGGGGCTAATAGTGGAATGCTCCCTCATAGGAAAGCCATTTTAGACTCCAGGGTCCCTATGACCAGATGACTTGTTTGAAACCAGGAACACTGATTTACAGAGAAGCTCTCAGACCAGTCCTGGCTTCTGCTATCTTTGTACAATCTGGCTTCAGACACTTAAATAGAAGTCATGTGAGGGCCAGGTACCTAGGTCTAAGCTCTCGGGTTCTGTAACTCTAGGGTTACTCTTGGTGTATTTGAAAGCACCCGCTCCCCAGTCTACTTCTCAGTCTACTTGCATTGAAATTAGATTAACTCCTTGTTGATGGAACTAGACCTGAAATGAACTTGTTATAGATACAGCATATACCCAAGGAGGCAGGCTGCTCAAGGAGTTTGCTGATTTGTTGACTGATAAGAAGCATAAACCTATTGTTTAATTCAAGATGAGTGGGGAGAAACTGATATGTGAAACTTCCAGGAAGGATTTTATATTTGGAAGGGTCAGGCACTGAGAGAAAATGCTCTCCTGTCAGCCAAGAGAGAAGCTTTAAATAGAATGTGGCTTGTGATGCTTATATGGAAACTCCAGAACTTTGATTTTTATTCTTTTTTTTTTTTTTTTTTTTTTTTTAAATGGCACAGTGGTTTTTAATAAGAAACAATTATCATGTAGGTAAGAAATACTACATTCAGGACAGTAACAAAATTTTTGGACCAAATGACAAAAGTATGTCAATAAAGCGTATTTAAGAATAACTATATAATGCTAACATTCTAACAGCACTATGATCTTTGATAATAACAAGCCAAGATCAGTTCTCCATCAAAAATTTCTCTCTCTCTCTCTCTCTCTCTCTCTCTCTCTCTCACACACACACACACACACACACACACACACACACACACACACACTTTCTCGTCTCCACAAATGCAGCTTGGATTATTTCCTGTTCTTAACTATTAAGTCTTTTGAACAAGATCGACATTCTTTCAACAAATCAATGATCAAAAATGACCCACTGCTTTCATGAAAGATCTCTCAAGGTCATTCTGTGTTTCAAGGGCAGCCTGCCAAGGACTTGCAGAGATGAAATTGAATTAGCATTGGCACAGGGAAATTCATAGCAGCAGGTCAAAGTCCATTTATCTTATGCTCAGCAGAACCTATTTAGGTCAGGTGAGGAGTAAGTAATTGGCAAATTGTTCCTCATCTAGCAGAGAGGCAGGAATAGTTAAAAACTATTGAAAAGCGTGGTTGGGCCCCTTTCATTCTATGGATGGTATGCGGTAGGCACCACACATCCGTGAGACAAGAGAGGTTAAACTAGAACTCTCCCCTAAACTGGCATTATAGGTTAAACAATAATCAAGTACATTTCTGCTGTGTCTGTGGTTTTAAAATGATTCACTGTAAACATCCTATAGGCTTTCCTACTTCATTAACTTCGGAGATTGAGCTTGATTCTACGTCTGTGTGAAATTAGCATAAATACTGTTCATTCTGGTTCGACACAAATTCCTTTAAAAAACGTTAAGGCCATTTAATGGAATCAGGGCCAAGTGCAGAGTGCCCTGACTGAAGTCAAACGACTGATTTATGATTTCTGAAAAAGCCATTGGCGGTTATCTTGCGTTTTCCTTCTCGGTACCTTGAGAGCAGTTTGTAGGATTAATTAGTCTCCAACATCTCCATCTCGATCTCCAATAAGCCAAAGAAAATGAAAACTTAAGGCTAACAACGCTGTCCCAAGAAGGTCCCCCAGTGCCGTTAGGTAGGGGATGGAGAAGCTGTCCGGGTCCTTTCCCTTCCTCCAGAAGTGACGGACCATCCAGTCAGCGATCCACAGCAAGGTAAATACCTGTAACACAGCAGCAAATAAAAATACTACTACGAAGATTACAGTTAGCGAAGTGTGACCACTTTTCATCAGATGAATCGTGTAGAGGAAAATTAAATGTCCGGGAATTACTAAAAGCAGCAGAACTTGAGCAGACTTATGATTTACTCCTGAACCAAAGAAAGTTCTAAATGGGTAGTAACAGCCTTTGCGTTCATCGGGCAGCTCTCCTGGAATGCTATGCAAGTGGAGGTACGTAGAAATCCTGCTCGCCTGAATGGCCACCAAATTACCACCAATCCCATTAATAACTGGTGTGTAAACAACAATTCCAACCAAGTTTGGATCAGATACAGTTGTGTCCAGAATAAGGCCTCCAATGCTACTTATAACCATAGCTGTTATGACAGGCTCCCAGCCCGAGTGGAGCACTGTCCTGGTGGCTGGATGTTTGGCTGCTACTATAATCCAGATAGGAGTTAGAGCCAAGAAAAAGACACCAACCAATGGAGAAATGTAGTAATAATTCTCAAGACAGGAGTACAAACCCTGGCTTATCCAAGCCAATATGGCAAGCGTTATAAGGTCACCAAAACTAGCAGCAATGGGTGTGGCAACATTATCAGGATTTATACCAGTCTTCTTTGAACCAACGATAACCCCAACCATGATTATTCCCTGCAGAAGAGAGGCAATGAAGGCAGTTGCTACGCTGCTAGAGCACAACAGTATGGAGTGATCAAGGTAGTATTTCCCCTCTGGGATCCAGCCCAATATAACTGCCGCCACGGCTGCTAGAAAACCGACGACTGTTGCTTGAACCTGTTTTAAAGCCAAGTTGCCAATTATTAGGTTCCACTTTTCAATGGGTGAATCCATCTTCCCAATATTTACTGCAGTGGATAATCTAGATGCCAATGTCATTTCCAAGTTCCCTTTGAGACCAAGTAGTGCAGGAACTAAAATGAAAACTTCGGTTACTTTTTTGAACACCTCCCAGTGCTGGACTATATCCAAAACCATGCCGGCAGAGACGGTTCCAAAGCCAGCTAGCAGAAATGGCACGAGGATCTGCAGGGCCATGATGCCGCTGGATTCCTTCGGCAGCTTTGGGTTTGCTTCCACGATGACATCTTCCTCGCCGTCACTGGGCCTTTCCTCAGCTTGCAGCATGGCGGTCGTTTCGGAGGCCTCCCCTCCGTCACAGTAATTGTAGTTGGCATAGTCGTCGTACTTTGGGCTATAGCTTGATGGCGTGTGCCCATTATTGCCATGGAAAGACGGCTCCGGGACCCTGTGATACTCCACGTGTGGCTCAGATCTGGTACCAAACGTCTGTGCCACAGCTGATAACCCCTCTTGCCAAATGCCGTTCGCTTTTTTGTGCCTGTCTTCCGGGTTCTTCTGGTAAATTACTGGAACCATACTCAACAATAAGTTTAAAAACTTATCAGATTGAACTGTATGTAAGCTTAAAGTCCAGTCTACGAAACCTCCTCCACTGCTTGGACCACCACTTGTTTTATTAGTAACAGATCTTCCTTTACTATTAGTCATATTGTCATCGCAGAAGACCCTGTACTCCTTAGATCTGAAGCTTCATAAACCATAGCAGATGAATCAGAACCACACAGATGCTGGTTTCAATTAAGATGCTGAATTCATTTTGTAGCAAAATAATGTTTCCACTAATAAAAGTTGTTTAGATGTTCCACACAGGGATGGAATCGGCATCAGGCAGGTCGAGCACGCCGTAGCTTGAGCTTGAGCGGGTTGCGTTGATCTTGATCGATGCTCCATTTGGTGATGAAGTCTTTCCGGATGGACCCAGGTCGCGATGCCGTCTACCTTGAGAGTGGTGGGGGTCGTCAGCACCACAATGTAGGGACCCTTCCAACGTGGCCCTAGGGTCTCCCGGCAGTGCCTTCTGACGTAGACCCAATCTCCTGGTCTGTGCTGATGAGGAGTTGGGGTTGGGCTGGTCTCATAGATGGCGCGGAGGCGCGGCCAAATGTCCTCGTGCACCCTCTGGAGCCCTCTCAAGGAAAGAGATTGTTAAAGAAAAGCCACCCAGTCCTCACCAGTCTCCGAGTCAGATTCCTCCTCTCTTGGAGAACTTCAAAGTCCTGATGGCTTCTAGGTAACGCTGTTTATCAGCTACAGCCATCTGCTTTTTTTTTGGCCTTTCTATCATTTCCCTTTGTGGCAGAGCAGCAACCAGGCCTCATTCAAGGGAGTGCGTTAGAAGTGGGTATCAGCCCCTCCTTTGCTAGCAGCAACAGGTACCAAACCCTTGCAGTACATTTGACCAGCTTCATTCCCGCTCACCTTTACAGATTCTAAGGCCCATTGTCTTCCTTTAACCAGCAAGCCAAGTGACACTGGCCTGTATTATTTAATTCAGCACAGGCAGGGGGAAGGACCCATGGAATCTCTGCCCTGAGGAACTGTGAGCCCCACCCTTAAATGTCCCAATCAGACTAGAAAAGCCACAAATACCTTTTAAACCTACCCCAGAATTCCAAAATCCCAACCCAGCACTGAATATCACATAGCAAATCAAAGTTCCCAGCAAACAAACAGACAGAGATGTTTACTAGTTAGGCGGGCTGATTCCACCTCTGACAGAGAGCAAGCGCTCTTGGGGCAAGCGTGTGACTTTTTTTCCCACAGACTTCCACACTTACATGAACAAATAATTATACCCAAGTAGACATACAAACATCAAATAAATATTTACACTTACACCCTTTCAGTGAACAAGTACCTTTACAGTCTTGGGATCTTGAGCAGATAACAGGAACACCGCCCAAGTCCCCTGATGGGGGCCTGACAGGAACAGATGTGGGGGCCTCCCTTTCCCACATCCCAGGACAGGATTCTTGACCTATGTCTCATCCAGATAGAAACGGTACTCATATTGAACAAGGAAATCAAGACTAAATAGACACGATAACTAGATACATTCCCCATTAAGAACTTTGAGGTACATGCCACATTTATACCACAAAATACCAACAAATCAGTTTCAGTTGTGTCGAGATACAGAACAAGTCCCTGAACAGAGGCAGTAGAAAACTGCTTAGGAATGCTTCTTTTCTACCTTTTTAAAAGATAGGCCAGATTCGAACCCTTAGCCAGTCCGAGCTTTGACTTCCCTCCGGAAGTCCCAGAGATGGTGAATACCATCTAGAAGCCATTCCTCCAGATACAGGACAAGTCCCTTAGAGATTCTTGATAATCTACATCAGTAATCCATTCACACAATCCCCCAAAAGTTAAAGAGGAAGGAAAGAACCATTCAATGTCCTTCAAGAGGATTTCAGCGAAACAACAAAATCGACAGATTTAACACATTGGAAAACCAAGGCCAGAAGTACCCTCAGACGTTTCAGGGGTACCAAGGAAGGAGAAGTTAGGCCACGTCCAGCCCTTTTCACAATCCACCATCAGTGACCAGTCCCAGCTCACTGGTCTACCATCCATTTAACATTTCTTTTTCCTCCCATCATACCAAGGCCATGCTTTCCAGGTAGCTAGAACTTTTAAACCACAGTTTCTACCTGAAATAATTGTACTTTACTTTAGAAATTGGGTTACTGCTATCCTGGCATAGCTGCTAAATTTCAAAATGGTCACAATTTTCGTGCTGGGGAATTCAAGAAGCAAACCCATAACTATTAAGGCCAAAACAGTCTCGGGTTTTTATTCTGTACACAGCAAAAGGTCAAGTTCAGCTCAAAACTATGCGCACTCATTTTTAAACTGGCCTTTTCTTTTACATGTGCACAAAAATCCTGGATGCATTTATGAATTTGTAAAAGCTTTTCAATTCTCTATCTACAAGCCCTTTAAGAAATACAAGCTCTATTGTCGGCCCTTATAAAGCCAACTGCTCAAAACATTGGTCTATCATACCACTAAAATTATATTAAGACCATGATTGCTAATTTAGTATTAAATAAATCTGGGAGGCAGGCACACTTTCTGCCCCATCTGCATTTCCTTAGTAAAACTCCGCCTAAAACTCCACCCCTGAAATCCCATCCTGCCTTAGTGAGCAGACATTCCTTTTGTGATTAACTAAGTCAGAGGGAGGGGCCTTTACTGTTCCAAGATGGCGGCCCCCAGGGGCACGGCATGCCATGCGGCCAACATGGCGGCTGCCAAGTCAGGCAGCTCAACATTGTGGCAGTCTAAACTGTTCTCTGACAGAAAAGATGATTTCCTCATTCTTACAATAAACAAGGGAAGAGCAAACCAAAACCCCTAAAAGATAGACGGCCAACATTATATTGCAGAACTTTTTAAAATCTTAGGTAGCAAATTAAATACGCTAGCCCAAAACCCTATCCGAAAACGGACGGTGCGCACATTAGTTTTAAGCCAGCTTTTCTCCTAACACGTGCACAGAAATCCCAGACGCGTTTACTTGGGGAGGGGGTGACCTGTTTCCACAGACCCTCACTCAGGCGGCCGCCCGACCGCCACACAAAGGAGGGGGGAGGGCAATCCCCCTCCCTCCACACTCCCACACTTTCACCAGACATTCATTCAGACTTTAAACAATCCATTCAATTCCTAACAACTTCCCAACTCCTGAGGGAGCTCTAAAGCCTCCCCCAATCTCCTTGAAATGATCAATCACAATACCCAAAGGAGCAGTCTGAGTCCATCCCATAACATCCGTCCAGTACAAACACAGAACACTAAACAGGGCCTGAAAATACAGGCTTCCAACTCCATGGAAGCCAAACTCGAAAGCTAGACGTTGGCCTCACGCCAAACCGGCAGGAGCGACCCGCCTCGTCTCAAATCCGCGAGGGGCATATCCATCCCTCGTGAGGGGCATATCCATCCCTCCTGGGGTGAGGGGCATATCCATCCCTCCTGGGGAGCGGAACGTCTTCCAACTCTCCCCTGCCTGTGGTCGTTCACAGCGCGTCCACCTAGACCCCTCAGGCAATTACAGATTCCAGAAACGAGCTCACACCGAACAGAACATACAACGACACACACATACCGCGGTCAGTCAGACTCTTCGGATCGGGGGTCCCTCGATGGTCTTGGGAATCCCGGACGAGCCCCCAAATGTTGTGCCCAGATTTCATGATTCCCAAGAACCCACAGGGAGCCAGCGAGTCCGATGCAAAAGCAAAGAGTCATTCATTTCAAACCTAGGTTTGGCTCCCCTGCCACACTCACCGATGCAACGGTAAGCTCCAGTGGCCGAGAGAGCTGATTTTTATTCTTTTATTTTTTTGAGCTTTAATTTTTCAAAAACTAAATACAGAACAAATATAAGGCTGTCATGTAACAACATAAAACAATGCCTGCTGATTTCTGAGGTCAGACGGTTTATCTTGGGCCAAGGAAATACATCCAGAACCAACAGTAAGTGAAGTGAGCCTCTGGACAGAGAGGGCTCCAGTCCTTGACCCTCACTCAGTTTCTCAGGTCTGTTTTCCCTCATGATAAACCATTTTCTTCTATAAATCATAGGTTTGAAAAAAACTAAGTTACCTGGTTTCCTGGATCTGTGCGGAACTGAAACAGCAAACTAGAAAGAATAGGTGTGTGGCAGAGACGGGTGCGCTCGCCCTGGTGGCAATGGAAATTGACTGCTGTCTGCACAGAAAACAAGAACAGGCCCATGTTCCCGGATGATGTACAACAGTGGCTGCTCACAACGATGGTCCTGAGTCAAAAAATGGTTTAACATTCAGACCTCGTGTTTAAAGCACTCAAGCAACAATGATAAATACTTTAATGTGATTATAAATATGCATCACCAGCTCAAAACCTGGCATCTTATTCAGTGGGGTAAAACCAGAGGCATTCCCATGAAAACAGGAACAATAGACATGAAAATCCACTATTCCTACCACACATTTCACCAAGAAAAAGTTCACTTAAAAATGTTTTAAACCGGCCGCGGGCTTCTGTGCAGAGATGGCCAAGTCCAAGAACCACACCATGCACAACCAGTCACGAAAATGGCACAGAAACGGCATCAAGAAACCCCGGTCACAAAGATACGAATCTCTTAAGGAGGTAGACCCCAAGTTCCTAAGGAACATGCGCTTTGCCAAGAAGCACAACAAGAAGGGCCTGAAGAAGATGCAGGCCAACAACACCAAGCTCATGAGTGCACGCGCTGAGGCCATCAAGGCCCTGGTCAAGCCCAAGGAGCCCAGGCCCAATATCCTAAAGGGCTGCAGCCACAAACTCAGTCGACTTGCCTACATCTCTCACCTCAAGCTTGGGAAACGTGTTCGTGCCCGCATTGCCAAGGGGCTCAGGCTCTGCCGGCCAAAGGCCAAGGCCAAGGCGGAAACCAAGCCCCAGGCTGCGGGTGCGGCTGCAGCTCAGGCTCCCAAAGGGGCTCAGGCTCCCGCTCCCAAAGGTGCCCAGCCCCCCACGAAGGCTCCACAGTAGAGGCCTCTGTCTGCCTGAGGACGGAAGGACTGGTGGGCCCCCTGGGCTGCTGTCTGTGTGGTGCTGGTGTCCTCCTGTGCTGTTTGTACAAATAAACCTGCGGCAGGAAAAAAAAAAAAAAAAGTTTTAAACCAGTGTTGGTCCTTTGAAGGGGTATGTTTTACTTTCTGGAAAATTCACTCAGGGAGCACATTTCATTCCCTAGTGATGCAGCACAAGTGCTTCTCTCGCCTCCTTAAGGTGCCCCAGGCTGCCATCTGAGGAAGTCAGAGCAGGGAATATCAGAGGTTGACAGGCAAGAAGAGCGCCAGGGTGAGTGTGGATTTATGCATGTATCTGTGTGTTCATTTTCCAGAGAATCAATACGTAAGTGGCAGATGTCCAGATATCGCTCCATTGGATCGCATGCCACTGTTCCTAAAGATGAGTTAAAGGTGGGCATCATTGGAGGCGGCCACCTTGGGAAGCAACTGGCTCAAGTACTGCTTGATCTTGTCCCCATCCCTCCTGAGAGGCTGTGGATCTCCACTCGGAGGCCAGAGGCCCTGGGTGAGGAGTAGTATACGGTAGAAAGGGGGCTTGGTGTGCCCTAGAGGTGTTGACCAGGCTGTTGATGAAAGGGGAATCCTCATGTGCAGCATGCTGAGTTCTCAGCTTTCTAGTCTGAGAAGAGCTAGAAAGATTGTTTTTAACTTGTTCCTAAAAACAATTTTCTTCTCCACTAAAATGTTTTATAACCATCTCTCTTCCTTGTGCCCTTGGTGATGAGATATCTTTCTGGATCTTTGATGCAGAGCTTTCCAAATAGAGTTGAGCCCGGCTAGTGTGCTCAGTGGTTAAGCATCAACCTATGAACCAGGAGGTCAGGATTTGATTCCCTGTCAGGGCACATGCCCGGGTTGTAGACTTGATCCCCAGTAGGGGGCCTGTAGGAGGCAGACAATCAATGTTTCTCATCTTTGATGTTTCTATCCTTCTCTCCCTCTCCCACCTCTCTGAAATCAATAAAAACTTAATAAAAATAAGAGTTCAAATCTAACTGGACCAGTTAGAGTCTGGTGTGTGTTAACCAGTTCCAAACATGTGGCCTTGTATTTTTATAAATAACATTTCCTGAATTTTTAAAATTATTCTCTATTGATTCCATCCACTCTGGCGATAGAAATCAGAATGGTTGCTTCTGGGGAGACTGACTGAGAAGAGGCCTGAGGGGACTTTCTGAGGAGATGGAAATGTTCTAGTTCAGGGTGGGGAACCTTTCTTCTGCCAAGGGCCATTTGGATATTTATAATACCATTCTCGGGCCATACAACATTATCAACTTAAAAATAAGCCTGTTCTATTTGGTCAAACATTTAATTAACTCACCCCTAATGCCTTGGCAGGGCCAGACCAAATGATTTTTTGGGCCTTATATGGGCAGTGGGCTGGATGTTCCCCATCCTTTTGTAGATCTTGAAAGAGGAGTGAGTTACATGGGTGTATGCATATGACAAAAGTGATCAAACTGTATTTTCTTTCTCTCTCTCTCTCTCTCTCTCTCTCTCTATCTCTCTCTCTCTCTTTCTCTCTTTTTCTTTCTCCTTACCTGTGGATATTATCCCCGCTGAGTTCTAGAGAGAGTAGAAGGAGAAGGAGAGAGAGAGAGAGAGAGAGAGAGAGAGAGAAAGAGAGAGAGAGAGACATCGATTGGTTGCTTCCCACACACACCCCTACCAGGACTGGGGAACCTGCAACCAAGGCAAGTGCCCTTACCAGGAATCGAACCTGAGACACTTTGGTTTGTGAGCTGACACTATAACCACAGAGGCAAACTGGCCAGGGCCAAACTGTATACTTTAGACCTGCATGTTGCACTGTATGTAAATTATGCTTAAATAATTTCTATAAATGTAAAATATTATATGCTTATTTTATAAAATTTTGAAAGTTACTCTACAGGAAAATAAATAATAACTACCTATAATCCCCTTACCAGGGATATTACTTCCTGTTTTCTTCTCTGATTAGATTAGATTAGATCAGGAATTGAGACTGTACAAAGTTATTTGTATTCTGCTTTTTCACTTAATATAAGCATATTCTTATTTTAGTTAACATTCTTCAAAATCATGATTTTAAAGTTGTATGGTATTACAAAGTATGGTTGTATGATAATTTATGTAACTGTGGCTTATTGGATTTCCTTGTACATGTTTTTAAAAGTAAAATTACTAGGTCAAAGAAGAGGTACAGCTTTATTAAAATACTAGAAGCCAAGCCTGCAGGGATTGGACCAAAAAAAGCTCTCCGACATCCCCCAAGGGGTCCTGGATTGCGAGAGGGTGCAGGCCAGGCCGAGGAACCCCACCAGTGCACGATCGGGGCCGGAGAGGGACCGTGGGAGGGCTTCAGGGCATGTTCGGCCTGTCTCACCCAGTCCTGATCAGCCAGACCCCAGCAGCAAGCTAACCTACCGGTCAGAGAGTCTGCCCCTTGGTGGTCAGCATGTGTCATAGCAACTGGTTGAATGAATGGCTGGGCACTTAGCATATTAGGCTTTTATTATATAGGATAATTTGCATATAGTAAACTGAACATTTCTTACATCACCATAAACTACACATTTTAAAGTGTACAATTTGATGTTTTGCACAGGTGTGTATTTGAAACCATCAACACAGAATGAACTTACCCATCATCCCCCAAAGTTTCCTTGTAATTCCTATCTCTCTACCTCTCTGCAGTCCCCTACCTAGGAAACCACTGATCTGATTTCTGTCATCATCAATTATTTGCATATTCTAAAACATTACACAAATGGAATCATATAGTTTGTACTGTTGCTTGGTCTGATTTCTTTCACTTTGTATAATTACTTTAAGATATAGTTTGTTTCATGTATTGATAGTCTTTTTATTTCTGAGTAGTATTTCATTGTGTTAATATTCCAGTTCATCTAGTCTTTTGTTGATGGACATTCCAGTTGTTTCCAGTTTGGGACTATTACAAATAAAGCTGCTATGAATATTTGTGTACAAATACTAGTGTGGAAAAATGTTTTAATTTTTCTTTGGTACATACTTGGGAGTGAAATGGTGGGTCATATGGTAGGAATATTTTTAAAGTAACTTCTAATACATTTTTTTCAAATTGACTTCCAAAAAAGGTTGTTCAGATATAAACTTTCACCAGTGTTGTGTAAGAACACCCATTTCACTACATTTTTTTTTTTCAATTCTGAGCCTCTTGTTGTTATTCCACTTACTTATGCATTTATTGGTTGATTCTTGTATGTGTCCTGACTGGGGATTGAATCCATAATCTTGGTGTATGGGGTTGACACTCTAACCAACTGAGCTACCCAGCCAGGGCCTGAGCCTCTTTTATTTTTTTTTATCACTATTTTACTATGCCTTTAAAATTTTTCTTATTTTAATATGTCTTTTACTGACCGCTAGAATAGTTGGATATTTTTATATGTTTATTGCTATTTTTGTCTTTTTTGAGTTCTTTTGGTCCAGTTTTTCTGTTGGTATGCCTGCTTTTTTCTTATTTGTAAATGTTCTTTCTAATTAAGGAAATCTTAACATTTTATCACTCAAGGCAAATTTTGAAAAATCTCATCGATAGGACTAGTATGTATGGTATTTCAACAAACTACATATATTTTTTGGAAGCGATATGTTTATTAATAACTAGAGGCCTGCCCTGGCTGGCTTGGCTCAGTGGATAGAGCGTCAGCCTGAGGACTGAAGGGTCCCAGGTTCGGTTCTGGCCAAGGGCACATGCCTGGGTTGCGGGCTTGATCCCCAGTAGGGGGTGTGCAAGCGGCAGCCGATCAGTGATTCTCTTTCATCATTGATGTTTCTCTCTCTCTCTCCCTTTCCCTCCCTCTCTGAAATCAATAAAAATTAAAAAAAAATAACTAGAGGCCTGGTGCACAAAATTTGCACACTCAGAGAGGGGTCCCTCAACCTGGCCTGTGCCCTCTTGCAGTCTGGGAGCCCTCAGGGGATGTCCGTCAGTCAGACATCCTTAGTGCTACTGTGGAGGCAGGAGAGGCTCCTGCCACCGCTACTGCGCTCACCAGCTGTGAGCCCAGCTTCTGGCTAAGCAGCATTCCCCCTGTGGCAGCGCACTGACCATCAGGGGGCAGCTCCTACATTGAGTGTCTGCCTCCTGGTGGTCAGTTCTCGTCATAGCGACCAGTCGTTCCGCCATTCAGTTGATTTCATATTAGCCTTTTATTACATAGGATAAAGTTACAGTTTTAGAATATCACTGTCTATTGAGTAAGAAAGCAAGAATTCAACATGCTCAGCATCAGCCTCTATGTACTTTTGAGAACATAGAAGAAGGGAGGTGCCTGTTTTCTAAACTTACTACCTGGAAGCACCTGAGTACCGCAATGATCTCAGCATCAGATTTATCATGTATTCTTGCTGGTTGAGATAAGGAGTGACCTCTCCAGTGTCTAATGCTCTCTTTTCTTTTTTAAAAATATATTTTTATTGATTTCAGAGAGGAAGGGAGAGGGAGAGAGAGATAGAAACATCAATGATGAGAGAGAATCATTGATTGGCTGCCTCCTGCACACCCCCCACTGGGAACTGAACCCAAAACCCAGGCATGTGCCCTTGGCTGGAATCGAACCTGGGACCCTTCAATCCACAGGCCGACACTCTATCTACTCAGCCAAACCAGCTAGGGCTTTAATACTCTCTTTTCAATACCATTTAAAACATAGGACCATGTGTGACTTTATGCTTTTACTTTTGAAAATACATATAAGGACAACCTAATGATCAAATACCAAGGGGTGTTTTTATACAACTACATGATTTATCACATTTATCTCTACATTTATAAATATCTTAACATTAAATTGTGTATCCTTTATAGAAACTGTAAGCTTATTTCCCCCAAATCTTCCCAGCTTCTGCCCTAGACTCTTCCATTCTCTTAGTCTTTCCTACTAACTCAAGCCAGTTAGCTGTGTAATTTTAGCCCAGTTATATAACTTCTTGAAGACTCAGTTTCCTCATCTATAATATATGAATAATACTAGTCTCTGACTTACCCTGGCTGGTGTGGCTGTTGGCTGACCATGGTCCTGTCCACTGAAAAGTCACAGTTCAAATCCCAGTTAGGGCACATGCCCGGGTTGTGGGCTCGATCCCTGTTCAGGGTACATGTGAGAGACAGCTAATCAATGTTTCTCTTACACATCGATGCTTCTCTAAAATCAAGAAGTATTAAAAAATACTAGTTTCTGCCTCATAAGGTCCTTATGAGAACTTCCTTCGATAATACATATAAAGTACTTTGTGTATTATCTGACACATAATAAACCTTCAGTAAATTGGAGCAGAAGGCGTCTGAAAACCTCCAGCATTTGAGGTAAGCATTTGAGAAATTGTCTCATAATCTCAAATGCTGCCGCTGTGGCTGCCAGCGCTGCTAGCAGGGGGCAGGGCATTGCTGCATGGCTCCTAGATGACATGAGCACATCTCTTCTGATTTATGTGACAAGAGTTGAGATAAAATAATTGTCTTCCTCTCCCTACAGTTGATGTTCAGGCCCAACTCTCCTCTGTACTGTGATTTTTCTGTCTTCTATCCCTCCCAGAGGAGTTGCAGAACCTGGGGGTCCGGTGCTTTTACCATAATGCCTATCTGGTGGGCTGGGCCGATGTGATATTCCTCTGCTGCCTGCCATCTCAGCTGCCTAATATCTGCGCAGAAATAAACACCAGCTTTAAAAAAGACAGCATTGTGTACAGCTTTGTAGCTGCCATCCCAATACCCAGGTACCTTGCTAGGGGGAGCCCAGAACTGGCAGACCTGCTCTGTTGTCCTCCGCCCTGGCTTCTGCTCCCACCTCCACCCAGCTCCTACCTGTGGGAGGTGGTCATTCCCAGGAGTAAGGTGGAAACCGCTTCACCTGCAGGGCCCAGCCAGGCTTTCTTTTTTTCTTTTTTTTAAATATATATTTTATTGATTTTTTACAGAGAGGAAGGGAGAAGAATAGAGAGTTAGAAACATCGATGAGAGAGAAACACCGATCAGCTGCCTCCTGCACAACCCCCACTGGGGATGTGCCCGCAACCAAGGTACATACCCTTGACCGGAATCGAACCTGGGACCCTTGAGTCTGCAGGCCGACGCTCTATCCACTGAGCCAAACCTGTCAGGGCCCAGCCAGGCTTTCTAATTGTGTCTTTCCCCATGTCTCTGCAAACCGCCCCTGGGGGTGGGTCATTTTCTTTGATGTGCAAAAGGTTGCAACTGCAATACAGCATTGCCTCCCACTGCTTGCAGTTGGCTCATGTTCCCCTTGTGCATCAGTGAGAGGGGAAACCACCAGTCCACAGGATGAAGAGTGTTCGAGAGCATGTCAGGTGTTATTTTTCTACTCCTAGTGTCTAGGCCAGTGCCAGGCAAGTGATAACATTCAGTGAGTGTTTGTTAGGCAGATGGCTAAACAATCCAACTAGGTAGTGTCCTCAGCACTGACCCGCACCTGTGCTGTGGGGGGCTGGGGAGTGGAGGTGGGGATATCTGTTGGCTGTTAACCCTGTGGATCATGTGGTTTATTCTAGTCCTGGCCTGCACTCCCTGACTTTGTGGCTTTACTTTCAGGTTGAAAAGGCTGCTGGACCACACCAGTATCTTGCGGCCTCACTATCAATGTGTTGAAGGTTTTGCTAATATCTGGCAGTCCAACAGGGAAATCACAGCTGCTCTCCAAGATCCTGAGATTCTTCAGGCTACCTGCCCCTACAACCCTGCTGGTAATGGCTCACCCTAGTTTTGGCACTCTTTTAAAAATTACTTTCCTCCTGGCCTGTTACTATCTTATTAGATCCAAGCGTGTGTGTGTGTGTGTGTGTGTGGGGGGGGGGGGGGGGGGTTGGGGAGTACTGTATAGCTAGATGCATTCTCAGCTATTTAGGTTTTATACAGGAACAACTTTGGTGGCAAAAAAAACAAAAACAAAAACACCAAAAAAAAAACAACGGTCCTAATTAGGGAAAGCTGAGAAGTCTGAATATTTGGATCCTTTAAGAATGAACTGGAAACAACCTGAGGGGAGAGTCTATTTAAACAGGAGGATGTACTGTCTGAGACTAAATGGGTTTTTTTGTGCTTTTCTTTTATCCTCACCTGAGGATGTGCGTATTGATTTGAGAGGAGAGAGAGAAAGAGATGACAGAGAGAACATAGACTGGTTGCTCTCACGTGCACCCCAACCTGGTTTGGAACCACAACCCAGGTATGTGCCCTGACTGGGACTCAAACCTGCAACCCTTTGAACATGGGATGATGCTCCAACCAACTGGGCCACACTGGCTGGGCTGGGATTAAGGGGTTTTTCCCTGCTCTAATCTTTTCCCTAGCTCCTTCTTAATTGGTAAAGTCTGATGTAGAAATTCCTAGAGATGCTTTTGCCATTAGAAATGTCCACATTAGCCCAGCTGAGGTGGCTTAGTGGTTGAGCATTGACCTATGAGCTAGGAGGTCATGGTTCAATTCCTGGTCAAGGCACATGCCAAAGTTGCAGGTTCCATCCCCAGTGTGGGGCCTGCAGAAGGCAGCCAATCAATGATTCTCATCATTGATGTTTCTCTCCCTCTCCCTTCCTCTCTAAAATCAATAAGAACATATATTTTAAAAAATGTCCACATTAGTCATACTTGTCCTACCGTGGCAGGATCAACAGGATGTGTTATCAAGGTCACAAGCAGGGCTCTTGGCCAGGGAGGGGGAGTGTTTGCTTATCTTGAGGTTCATATGACTAACTTGTCTTTGAAAAAAGGTGGTTATTCACTGTCTAGGTTGGTCCTAGGGTCCCTGCAAACGTTTTTGGTGGCGCTAACTGGTCTTTCCTTTGTCATTGATTTGTAGGCGGGATAATCCTCAATATCAAGTGGTTGGAAGGAGTGTTCTACGCAGCCTTGAACACCTGCACAGCAAAGGACTTGCCCCACCCACTAACACTGCAGCTTATAAATGAGCTGTTCCTCTCTGTGCACACCAATGACTGTGGGGAACGTAAAGAATCGTGCCCAAAACTCCAATTACAAGACTTTGTCAGCCAGGTCTATGCCAAGGGCCTGACTCAGAGAAGGTAAGGTATGGCGGCTGGCTGTTCTAATTCCTCCCACACTGTTGTCTTAGCAGGCACTTTGTTCTTCCCCTTTTATGTTATCTTTGAAAACTTAAAGAATACATTCTTGTAAAAAACCCGGCTAGTAGAAGAAGGAAAGCCTTCCTTTGCTTCCCAAGTACCATTTCATAAACTTTACATCTAATGGATTTTAGATTTCTTTTCATTATATTTAAGTGTGGACATCTATATCAATATACACATTTTAGAAACATGGGAACTATACGTACTGCATTTTCACTTACTATGTCATGGATACAATCATATTTGTTTCATGTATGAGCAACTGCATAGGCATCCATTAATACATTTGAATTTATTTATCCTATTTCCTCTTGATGGTGTTGAAGTCCTCCCTGCCCCAAATTTGACATCAAGGACTACATTGAACATTCTTGTACTTGTTTTGCATACTTGCATCAGTATTTCTGTTGGATGAATAGTTAGAGTAATATTTCTGGGTTTGAGATGATATATATATATATATATATATATATATAGTGTGTCCCAAAAAATGTATACACACTTTGAATAATTATTAATTCCAGTGGGTTAAAAGAAAGAAACATTAATTGAGCTATCAGCTGTAAAGTGTGTATACATCTTGGAGGGACACCCTGTGTTTTGTTTGTGGGCATTTGTAAATTGCTTATCGAAAACATGGTGCTTATTTTTATTTCCACCGATAGTGTAAGAGAGTGCCATTTCCTATGGCTTCATAACTTTAAGATCAATCTGTTTAACCTTTGATAATCTAATGGGAAAAAATGCTGCTCTTATTACAATTGCCTCTTGTCACTAAATTCACTGGACACATTTAAATCCTCTTCTTCCTTGACTATTGAAACGCCATTCTTTTTGGTGCAATCTCCTCTTTTGGCTTTCCTGATACCCTCCAGTTCTCCTCATTTTCTTTCTGTCTTTCCGGCCCCTCCTTGGCCAGCTTCTCTTCTGCCCCATCCTTAAATCTGGGAGTTTTCAGGGCTCGGTCATAGGCCTTCCTTTTCTTTCTACACTTGGTTTCTGGGTGATCTTTTTCCACTTTGGGAACTTAGGTTGCCAACTTTACAGGGACACCACCAAGCCTATATCTCTACCAGGGGTCCTCAAACTACGGCCCACGGCCACATGCAAATACAAATATTGTATTTGTTCCCATTTTGTTTTTTTACTTCAAAATAAGATATGTGCAGTGTGCATAGGAATTTGTTCATAGTTTTTTTTAAAATTATAGTCTGGCCCTCCCACAGTCTGAGGGACAGTGAACTGGCCCCCTGTTTAAAAAGTTTGAGGACCCCTGTGTCTGTTTCATGCCCAGGTAGTTCACATTATCTGTCTCCACTCAGACTTGGTGTGTCCAAAGCAGACCTGCTCTTCCTGGATTTCTTATCTAGTTACAAGCTTCTTCACCAGTTGTTCAAGCCAGACCTCTGGAAGTAATCCTTGATTCTTCCCTCTTTTGTATTCTAATCAATCACCAATGGCCTGCCTTACACTTCCAGTTTCGGGATTTCCCTCCCCCATTTTCCTGGAAATCCCTCCACGGCTCTCTTATTGTGGATCTTGTTCTGGATCTCTCTTCCTCTGGCATGGCTTACTCCTTCATTGGGGATCAGGTCCTCCTCCAGGGGCTTCCTTAGGAAAGGATGCCTTGGAAGTAATTGTTAGAGACTATGTCTGAAAATGTTTTTATTCTAACCTAATATTTTTATTGGGAACATAGCCAGGCATAGAATTCTAGCTTAGAAATAATTTTCCCTCAGAAGTTTGAAGGCATTGCTCCATTGTCTTTCAGTCGTTAGAGTTACTATTGAGAGAGAGGCCCAGGGTACCTCTAATTTTTGAATTCATCCTTTCTCTGAAACCTGAGTCTTTTGTGGGTAAATGGACTGTGCCTTGGCTCATGTTATTGTCCATATTCTTTCCAGCTTCCAAACTCATTGCTCTTGTGTTCTCTCTCATCATTTTATGTTCTTGGACTATTTTTTATTTGGATTGTTTACTTTTTATTTATTGTTTTACAGGGGTTTTCAATAGGGATATGTTTTAAGTATCCTATATAATAAAAGGGTAATATGCAAATAGACTGAACGGCAGAACAACTGAACAACCAATCTAAGTGTAATATGCTAATGATATGCTAAGGCTGCTCAACCACTTGCTATGATGTACACTGACCATGAGGGGGCAGACAGTCGACCAGTCACTATGACGTGCACTGACCACCAGGAGGCAGATCCTCTGACCAGTAGGTTAGCTTGCTGCTGGGGTCTGGCTGATCGGGACTGAGCCAGATGGGCTGGACACATCCTGGAGCCCTTCCGTGGTCCCTCCCTGGCCCGATCGTGCACCGGTGGGGTCCCTCAGCCTGGCCTGCGCCCTCTCACAATTCAGGACCCCTTGGGGGATGTAGGAGAGCTGGTTTCAGCCCAATCCCACAGGCTACTCCCCTTGGGAGGGTGCCAGACACAGGGCTCATGGCTGGCGAACGCTGCTGTGGCAGCACGAGCCTCTCCTGATCGAGACTGATTGGGCACAACCTGTGGCAGGCACAGTGGGGCCAGGATGAGTGGGAGCAGCAGGTAGGAGCTGCAGGCAGCATTGGACCCTAGGTGTCAGCTTTATCCCTGCAGGCCACCCTGAGGGACCCCACCCGTGCACAAATTCATGCACCGGGCCACTAGTTAGAAATATTTTTCATATTCTTTTTGGTATCTTTTGCTGTACAGAGCTTCTAATTTTTACAGTCAAAATTTTCAAGTTACTTCTTTATGGTTTCAAGTCATACTTATAAAGACCTTCTTTATCCCAAAATGTTCTAAATCTTCTTCTAGGATTTTATTTTTTAAATATTTAAGTCTTTAATAAACTTAGGGTTTTTATTCATTTTTGAAAGCCAGTTGTCTTAACACGATAGAGTAGCCAATCCTTTTCCTACCAATTTGAAATGTGATTTTTATCATTTGGTAAACTGCAGGATATTAATGGGCATGCTAACTTCTACTCTTTCCCTAAAGAGTTGAAGAGGATGCCTTTTTTTTAAAAGAGGATATTTGAAATATTTTTCATTCCTAATGTTCATGATCCTTTGATGTAGTCTCTTTCTAAATTCAAGAAAAATACACTGAAAAGGATGTCAATGTCACTATCATAATCATTCTCTAACTATGAATTCCTCCCAAGATGCACTTAGAGAAATGTATGTAAGTACAATTAAATCTACATATTGGGTAGTTTCAGCTGAATTTTTTTATTTAATTGTGAATTTGAATTAGTTTGATATAGAAAAATGAAGAACCTTATTTCCAAGTGGAGGAACACGTGTTTTTTTTTAAATTAAAGGGCGGGGGGAGAGAAAGAGAGAGAGAGGAGAAACATCCATTGGTTGCTTCCCACACAGGGTGGTGCTCCAACCAATGGAGCCCCCATTTGTCAGGGCACAAAACATTCTTTAAAGGAAATGTGTACAGCTAAATCATTTGTTTTGAGCAGACCTAAAGGTAACAGTTGTTTTGTTTTTTGTTTTTCCCACCCAGGCCTCTACCCTGGTTTGATCTGGCTTCTGTGCAACTCAGGGAAACTCCCTTTACCAGGAAGCTCTTAACCTGTACTAGTCTCCAGGACCACATTATCCATTTCTACTGTAATGAATTTGGCCTCTCCTTTACCAAAGAACAACAGCCAATGGTTTCCAGAAACTGTCTGTTCTAATAAGAGAAGATACCTCAGGACTCAGGATTCTTTCTCTCACTACAATGGTCATATTCAGATCATCACAACTGACAGTGGGGACTCATGGGACTGTTTGCAAAAGTTAGGCAATCAGGAATTAGAAAATGGTACTGATGGCTCTTTATAATATAGATTAAAATGAGAGGTCCTTTACATTGGTATATGTGTGTATCTGTGAAACTACATAACCCAACACACTTAAGTAAGCTGCTTCCCCATGAGAGCCTTGCTAATACAAATTATCTCTCTTCTAAAAGCTGAATTTAAGAAGGTATAATGTCATTATTAGCTTCTTTTCCTGTAGTGGTATATAGCTGACAAATGATACAGCTTCACTTTCCTACCATTTTAGATAGAGAAGAAAAATGTGTGGTAAACAACTTAACTGTGACTCATTTCATGCTTATTTTAGCTATATGTGACTTGGTACTATCTTATTTAAAAAGCTATTCCCATTTAAAGCATTTTTAACCATACAAACATTTTTTTAAATAGCTGGCATTTTTATTAAGTGGCTAAAAGTACTTTTGTAAAATAGAGACCTTATTTCTATAGTGCAAGTTTATTTCCTTTATGTTGTAAATACTTTATGCCAATTATAACACAGCAGGAAAGAGCAGCAGTGACCACTAAGTGGAGAAAGAGGAACAAAACCTTGTGTGCCAACTGCTAAAGTGCTTTTGAACAAAGCCATTCGCTCCATAAGTAAACCACCATGGCCCTACCTTAATCATTCACACTTTTCTTTTCTTCATAATTATGACTTAGGCAAATTCAATGGTATTGAATGATTTGAGATAAAAATGTTAGTCCAATTTAAGGAAAATCAGGCTCATCACTAAATATATATGTTTTTAAAATGTATTTTTATTGATTTCAGAGAGGAAGGGAGAGGGAGAGAGTGATAGAAACATCAATGATGATAGAGAATCATTGATTGCCTGCCTCCTACATGCCCCACACTGGGGACCAAGCCCGTAACCCCGGCATGTGCCCTTTTCTGGAATCGAACCTGGGACCTTTCAGTCCACAGGTTGATGCTCTATCCACTGAGCCAAACTGGCTAGGGCTCATCACTAAATATTAACATTCTGTGTGAATGCTAATTTGAGGCACTGTTCCTTCTCTCAGTAGAAAAAAAAAGAAGTGTATTCCTTTGACTATTCATTCAGGTGTGGGGAACTGGACAGGATACATCTTTGCCCTTCTGGATTATGGTGGCCCTTTAGTGGTTTTTAGGATTAAGAAGTGAGACTGGGGGGGGGGGGGGAAGCAATTAAATCTATAAAAGTAGAGAGGAACTGGAGTTATTCGAGTGACAAAAAGTATTTTGTAATTTCTTTTGAGCAGTACAGTCATGGGTAGACTCTGGCCTGAATTTTATTTTATAAAGGTCTAGCAGGTACCACATAAGAGCCTTTAAACAAACCTCAGCCCCTAGTTCATAAGGGTACTTCCATAGCCATGCTATTTGTAAGGACAAATACAAATCTAAAAACAGATTTAAAAAATATTTCTCTGATGCTGAAATATTTCTTTAGAAAACTTGTAATATAAATCCCTTTTCTCTGTTTTTGAGATGTATATAAATATTTTAAAAAGCTGAATAAGCCTTCTGACAATTTTATATCCCAGGACTGATTTTCTGGGGGGCCTTGGAGCCATCTCTGAAATGTGAACACCCGGTCTCCCTGAATCTGTGGGAGTTTAGCCTCGTGCCTGACTCCAAATAATAACTTCTTGTTTGTCATGGAGATGTGAGATACAGACAGTTAACATGTATGCAATATGTGCCTGGCTATATAAAGGGGTGATATTTCTTTGTCTTTTCAATCTCTTTAGCAGCTTGCTTGTGATGTGTATCACAGTCTGATTTAATACTCATTCAATAATAAAATAATTTTTTTTAAAAAAATACATTTTTTATTGATTTCAGAGAGGAAAGGAGAGGGAGAGGGAGAGGGTGAGAGAAACATCAATGATAAGAATCATGGATTGGCTGCCTCCTGCATTCCCCCACGTGGGAGTTGAGCCTGTAACCTGGGCATGTGCCCTGACTGGGAATTGAACCATGACTTCTTGATTCATGGGTCCATGCTCAACCAGGGAGCCATGCCAGCCGGGGCAAAATTGGGTTTTTTTAATTGATTTTTTTTTTTTTTTTAGAGAGTGAGGAAGGGGTGGGGGCACAGAGAGGGACATCGATTTGTTTATACATTCATTGGTTGATTCTTGTATGAACCCTGACTGGGAAACAAACCGATAACCTTGGTGTATTGGGACTAAGCTCTGACCAACTGGCCTACCCGGCCAGGGCATTATCTTTATTCTAATGACAGTCTAAATTGAAACAAATACAGGAATGTGCTGCGAGTTGGCGACAGATCTAGGAATAGTGCCAGGAGTTCTACTCTGATTCTTAATGAGGAGGAGAAAAAGAAAACCCAAAAAGACCACACTTCTTCCACCAAGTAATTTAGTTTGATCTTTCAAGCTAAGTGAAATGGCTTTTCTCTGTGGCTCAGTATAATAGAATGCCTAATAATCGTCAGGGGCAGTTATTTTCGGCTCATAATCTTGTAATCCTGCTGTTTGCACAAATTCAGAATAGGTCAAGGAATCAGATGTTTCCCCAGTATGACCTTTTTGTTCTAAAAATAAGCCAATATTGTCCCTATGGGGAAGACGGATGGAGCGTTTAAATAATGGTTCTTCAAATCCCAGTAGTTCCCGCGTGTGCCGAGAAATTGCCTGAAATACAAGGATAATTTTTTAATGGGACTAACCTGAAAATACAACTAAATCAAAGCAGTTCTACTTACTGTCATAGGCCTTTTGAATGCTAACCTCTTAAGCTATTTCTATGGGAAATTTAAATAATGAAATAACACTTTAAAGGCTTACTAGCCTGACCTTCTCTAACAAAGATCTTGAGAAACATAACATGATTTCTCTTTTTAAGAGTCCTATTTAAAGGTGTTTCTAGGCCCTTGCATGGCCACGGATGGGTTAATTTATTTTCTTTTGAGCAATCTGACCAATCATCTGAGCAAATAATATGTTCAGATTAGGAGCCCTGACTATCTCTGGGAAGTTTAATAAATAACTTGTCTATAGGGAGCTCAGTTAATCTACAGTTATAAGACTGTAAAATTCATGCCACAGACCACTCTAAACCTGATACAAAACTGCCCATTAGCCATATATTTCAGATAGGAAAGATAACTTTCTTCCCAAATCTTACTTGAATTGGTTTTGTTTACATTCTAGAGATGGTCTGTGGGTAAAAGAGTTGCCTTGCATTTCCAGTGGGACTACTAATTAAGGTCTGTGGCAAGGGGTTTCTAAGAGTTCAGATCCACATTACTACAGGTGGCTTTTAAGAATTCTCATTTATAACGGATGTTGCTACATTGAGCACCTTGCTTGGTCAGCACCTCACCCTGACTCTCCTTTTGAATGTCCCTTAGCAGAAGGAGTTATTTCACAAATTCATTGAGGTTTACAGAAATGTGCCTATTGTAGGCCAAGAGGGTCCAGTATTGTTTAATATTCTAATGTAGAAATGAAGTGTGTTGTAAAGCAATTAGTTACATGTGGAATCAAGAAATATAATCTGATCATTTCTCTAATTCAATGATTCTTAAAGTATATCTGAGGTGTACTGATGGACCATGAGGGCTACAAACTTATCTAAAACTGTGAGTTCTTTCTTTAATTTTTATTAATAACAAACAATAGACTTTATTTTTGCCTAAGAGTTAGAGCAATTTACTAGTAACTTGAGTTAGGAAGGATTATTAAAACTATGTATTCAGGAAGATTAATATTAGAGTTTTCCAAGGATTCTTAATTCCATATTCTAGGATGGTGGCCCATACTCGATGCTTGCAGAGCACCTACTTCACATGGTCTCAAGTAGGAATTTGTATCACCTATAGTTTTCAAGAAGATTCTAATTATTCCTATATCATCATTGTATTGTGTGTTGATCATGATTTTCAAAGGATGCTATTTTTGCTTTTATTTGTAAACTACTAATAGTTTTGCATCATCATTATCAATTTATTAGATACTGCTTAGTTACCTTATAGTAGCAGTGCTCACTTGCTTAATAGAAACCTAAGATTTATTTTTTTTTGTTGTTGTTAATCCTCACCTGAGGATATTTTCTGCACTGATTTTTTAGAGAGAATAGAAGGGTGGGGGAAGAGACAGAAAGAGAGAAACAATATATAAGAGACACATTGATTTGTTGCCCCTCGTACATGCCCCAACTAGGGCCAGGGATCGAGTCTTCAGCCCGTGGGCTGACACTCCAACCACTGAGCAAAACGGCTAGGCCCCTGTGAGTTATCTTAATTAAACCTAAAGACATGATTGTTGTGATTCAAATATGAATCATCTATACTATCATTATTAGAAAACATGTATAATTCCTTAAAATCTGCTTGTTGATTCATATAACAATGTGGATTAATTAAACGCATTTTGCTAAAGGAAAGAAGCCAAAGTTAAAGGCTATGTACTATTTGATTCCATTTATGTGACATCCTAGAAAATTCAAAAAGTGATAAAAAACAGATTAGTGGTTGCCAGGGACAGGAGGGATGGGCTGTCTACAGAGGGTACATGGGAAATATTAGGGAGATAGAACTATTCTGGATACATGACTCTGTGTATTTGTCAAAACCCACAGAACTGTACACTATAAAAGGTGACTTTATGCAAGGTTTTTTTAAAGTACATTTTTATTGATTTCACACAGAGAGGAAGGGAGAGGGAGAGAGAGAGGGAGAAACATCAGTGATGAGAGAGAATCATGGATCGGCTGCCTCCTGCATGCTCCCTCCTGGGGATTGAGCCCGCAACCCAGGCATGTGCCCTTAACTGGCATCAAACCCGGGACCCTTCAGTCCACAGGCCAACGCTTTATCCACTGAGCCAAACTGGCTAGGGCTATGCAAGTTTTTAAGGAGCCAGGATGTTGTGGTAACCCTGATGGCATATATGAATCAAATGAATCTAACTGTACTACAACGTAAGACATAATATCATTGAAGGAGGTAGGGAAGAAAGGAGATGACTTTGAAAAAACATTGCTTTGTCTAGGTAGTGTAAAGCTAAGGACAAAAACCACTGCACACAACACTGTGCTCTATCTGATAAATGTGTTTCTCATAGATACATATTTACAGATAAGGAGAGCCAACTTCTCACTGTCAGAGAAAGAAGTTATAAAAAGCAAAGGGGAATAGGGAATACGAAGGATGGGAAGGCTGGAATGAACCCTGTGGTGCCAGACTAGAGTCAGAGATATTAATCAGTATGAACTCATAGTACCAAAAAGTACCAAAAAATGCAAATAAAAATAGGGGAGCATGCAAACAGGACACAGAGAGCCAATGATAGAGTCCCAAATGGGGGAGAAGGGACAATTAAGCATTGGAGAGAGTTCTTTTTTTATTTTAATTTTTATTTATTGATTTTAGAGAGAGAGAGAGAAAGGGAGGGAGAGAGAGGAACATTGATTTGTTATTCCACTTGTTTATGCATTCATGGATTGCTTCTTGTATGTGCCCTGACCGGGATCAAAACCATAACCTTGGCGTATCAGGACAATGCTCTAACCAGCCAAGCTACCCGGGCAGGGCTTACAGAAGAGTTCCCTAAGAAGAGTTCCAATTAAACATGGAAGGGCTCTAGCTGGTTTGGCTCAGTGGATAGAGTGTTGGCCTGTGGCCATGGAAGGGTCCCGGGTTCGATTCTGGTCAGGGTTGCTGACTTGATCCCCAGTAGGGGGTATGCAGGAGGCATCCGATCAATGATTCTCATCACTGATGTTTATATCTTTCTTTCTCCCTCTCCCTTTCTCTCTGAAATCAATAAAAGTATATTTTAAAAAAACATGGAAGGAATGAGGGAAATAGAAAATCATCATTAGAACAACATAGTAATAACTGC